CAATCCCAGCAGGTTATTCTTACTGTCTAAATCTGTTTGGTTTAAATTATTCTTGGAGAGATCTCTCCTTCTCCATTAATTGTAGGTGTAGCCTAGAGATGACAGGTTGAGACACAGTTTCTACCTTTGTGATGGCTAACGTTAGCAGTGGAATTTTACATATACATTTTCCAAATCTGGGTTTGTAAGCTTGATGGAAGATCTATGGAGGGCCTTTGGTATTCTCTCTCCCCATCTTTTGTATAGCTACGTCTTTTGTATAACTAATGGTTGGTGCATGATTTTTTGGGGGGAGGACCATAGGTGTAAATTAGATGTCCTAAATAGCTGGGCTGGCTCTTTGGATCTTTGTTATGTGGTTGGTTGCTGAATCTTTCTCTGATGAAGGAACCCTCTGGTAAAAAGAAGCTTAGACTGTTATCGCACTGCAGCATTCGTGTCTTTCCATTCCTGACCTCTCCTCAATAATACAGGTTCTCTGATAACAAATCAAGATTGAGCATTTCTCTTCGTAGAAGCACTTACAGGATCTTCTTCCTACAGAGATTTCTTTTCATTACATGCATAGGATCTTTATGTCAGTAGGAACCCTACTGCTCTATCAAACTTGCTTGAAATTGGCTAAAAGATTCAAAAGTTATTAGACAAGTACAGACAGTGTCATTAGCTCTCTCCCCTTAGGAAACAGACTTAGGTGGGGTTGACTGACCTGAGTTAGTTGATTCATGTTAAAAGAGTAACACAGACACACTTGTGTTTTAGTAAGAAATAATAGCTTGTGTTAAACCTAGACTGAAATTGTTTTCACTGCTGGTTTAGCCCAAATGGCATTGGTTTTTTTTTGGCAGTTTAGATGGACCCCTAATCACGTTCCTTACCAAAATGATTTGCCTTCTCTTTGATCTTCAGCTTCAGTGAGCTGATCTACAATGATTCAGCAGGAGCCATGATCTGAAACACCTCCTTTTCTACAGCCACCTAATTTTTAGAATTACTTTAAGGAAATTACTAATTTCACAAACTCAGTTATCAGGATAGTGTATGGATTTGAAAAAGTTTGTGCAATTAATAATTTTAATACAATAATTGTTCCCTTTCAGAATCAAACATAAGGTTATTATAACGAGTAAGTATATAGGCATCTAGATGTCCTTGCTCAGACAAAGCTCTTATTGATTGCTGTGACTTTGCAAAGTAATGTCATCATTCAGTTCCAGGTTGTGGGTTTTTTAATCCTTGTTGTTAGCTAGATAAATAAAGGTGCTAGCAGGCTGAAGATGGGTATCCATCCTCATTGCAGAATATTAATCCAAATCAATTTTTTTACCAAAAAGAAAAATCAATTGATGCATTAGCAAGAAAGAAAATAAAGCATTATGTTGTTTTAGCTCCCAGGAGCCTGAATAGTCAGCTCTAACTTTCAGAAATAGAGAGATAAAAAAGATCTAAAGTTCAGATCTAAATCCGGATCGGAACTTCTCCAGGGCACATGGGGACTCTGACTCATTTCTAAAGTAGATGTGCATTTAAAGGGCAGTCATATAAAAACTGACCCTCCTGCTGGAGCTTCAGCAATTAAGGACATGTCTGACTCTCTGAATGCCAGTTTATCCTCCAGCAGCAGTAAGGTGGGGTGATTACAGAGGTTACCTTTCTGAATTCACCACCTCATGAATTTTCAGCCATTGCTGAAAATAGGATATTGCTTTAAATGTAGGAGAAGCAGCCCGTTTTCTTCTATAGGCCTAACACACCTTGTATAGGCTTTCGATGGTGAAATGGAAGTCAGTTTTTATATGACGTATATTAGACTGGCAAGCTCATGGACAGCTACAAACATTATTTTAAATGGGAAACATTGTCCAGTAGCTGTTGTCAGGATCTCTGAATAGTTAATTCTAGTTCTGCTGCTGGTTTGATGTGTAGTATTTAGTAAACCACCAGACCTTTAAGCTAAGTATTTTAATAGGATTTAGTTACAAAATGAAGTGAAAGCATATTAAAGTGCTGTGGAACTTTGTATCTGAACCTGAACTTCCAGACTGAGGCTATTTTATAATAAATATCTTCTTCCTCCCTGGGCTACTGTGAGGAATAATTAATGTTTGCATACTGCTTTGAACATGCAGACTGTAACGACAGTACTAAGTTTTAATATTAAAACTATTAAATACTGGGATTCTATAATAGTCTCCTTCCATTTCATAGAATCATAAGGTTTTACGATGCGTTTAAAAATGAAACTGCTGTGAGGAAGGACTGCCATTTAAATCTAAAATCAAATATTTCAAAAAGGATTATGCAATATGCCTGAGAGTTCCCCCTGAGCTGCTTCTCCCTGCCAGCCCTCCTCTACATGCAGGCTGGTTTTCTACCTTACAGATGAACCCATGTTTGTCTGTAACTAGAAAGCCTGTGCAGGCAGCTGGTGTGACTTCCCAGCCTGCATGGAGGGGGTTTAGGGATATCACTGAGTTGATATATTGCGTGATGTGTGTATGTACATGCATTGGAGCATAAATAAAGTACTTCACTACTATACCATGAAAAACTCAAGGAATATGACAAGTGCTAAAAGTGAAGGTTATGAAACATGCCTTTATAGGCAGGTTATTCCATAATTTTCCTCCGAAGGCCTTGTGTGCACACGCACACACATCTCTAAAGTACTGACTTTGACAAAAATTGGACTTTGTCAACAGATGATTTGCCTTAATCTGTCATTTGGTTTTAATATTGACGTAAAACATCTAGACACAGAATCCCACTGAAACAATCAAAAATTGTGTCCTCATTACTGCAAGGCCAGAATGCCACCACCACTGATTTAGGCACTAATGGATTTGGAGACATCTGTGTCTGAGCTACTTGTTTGGACTTCATTTATATTCATTGCAAAGAAAGAGACATTGCTAGGATGCAATTCATTATGGCATAGATTTGGTTAGATGAATTGCCCCTGAAAGTACATTTTTCTCTGACTTGATTATAGAGTGAAGCAGAGTAATTAGCTCAAAAGTAGGTGGCTACGTCTTAGAAGCATAAAGGTTGGTAAGATGAATCCTACGATTTTAGTCTTTATTTTTTATTCTGGCATGTCTCTTTATACTTACCTTTGATTCATAACACGAACTTTTAAGCAGGCAGAATATGCCTTTTTTTTTGTTGTTTAGGTAATAGCTAATGGTTGTTACTGAATCATAAAACTTGTGCATCAAGTTGATCTATTAATACAACTGATTTAGTGAAAAGAAACCAGTACGACTGTATTTTCATACTGGATCATAAAGGCAGGATTTCTCAGCATTTTCTGTCAAAGCTGTTCTTGATAGCGTTGTTTTCAACCAGCAACTTTCTCAGCTATTTGGTTATTAATGGACAAAACACTAGCACTACAGCATTACAAAGAAAGGATTTATTCTAATGTATAAATATCAGCCAAACCTTACAATAGCCAAAGTATAGCATATTGAAAGAGCAATTAATCAGGTACTTTTAAGTGGAAAGCTGTCATAATTATCCACTGTTTGAAAAGAGAATGAGAATAGCTAAAAGTGTAGCTCTCTGTGAAGGTTTATCCACTTACTGTAGAAGCTATGTGTTCATAATACATGGGTTGAAGCAGTGTTGTGCCCATCCAAAGGAATGAGTAAGGTGTTCCCCAACTGTCTCTTGAAAATATAATGAATGAGGGTACTATTCATAGAAATGTCATATTTTTAAATGCAGAGGCTTTTTGCCCTTTCTGTATGAGGAGGAGACACATGCAATTGTAACATTATGTAGAAGTTTCACATGCATGCTGTGGAATGGCCACATTTGTGTAATACATGTTATATCCTTAGTACTCCTGAGTGAATCAAGTAGGGAAGGTAAACTGTCCAAGTTACCAAAATATTCCTACTGGATAGTCTGGTATAAATCACAGAATCACAGCATGGTTTGGGTTGGAAGGGACCTTCAAGATCAGCCAGGTCCAACCCCCTGCCATGGGCAGGGACACCTTCCACTACAGCAGGTTGCTCAAAGCCCCGTCCAACCTGGCCTTGAGCACTGCCAGGGATGGGGCAGCCACAGCTTCTCTGGGCAACCTGTGACAGGGCCTCACCACCCTCACAGTAAGAATTTTTTCCTAATACCTAATCTAAATCTCCCCTCTGTCAGTTTAAAGCCATTCCCCCTTGTCCTGTCCCTACATGCCCTTGTAAAAAGTCCATCTCCAGCTTTTTTGTATGCCCCCTTTAGGTACTGGAAGCTGCTCTAAGGTTCTCCCAGGAGACCTTAAATTTGCAGGAACAAGTCAAAGGAGCTGCTCAGTACTTGCAGACATTTAACTGGCAACAAATCTGGTTCAAGACTTCCCAAACCTGAATCTACATCCCCACCTGTGGAAGCGTGTGGAAAGCTCCTGCTGCCTGTGCAGCTTTGGGCCACACATAGCTGAAGTCCCCTTAGCACTCAACGTTCTCACAACAACTATTCCCTTTAGTTAGCTGCACTGTTAAAAATACCTTAAAATAGAAGTATTTAATGAGGAGTAAACCCAGTCATATCTATGTTAAATTTGGTTTCTTTGGCTGTAGGCTGGTTTTACAGAGCTTTTTTGTGTTTAGTAGCAGGCCTGGATCTGGCCCCTGTGTTGAGATTCTCTTATGCTGCTTCCCACTTGCTCCTTGCCTGCTTTTATCTGCTGAGCCAGGAAGCTCCACTGTGCAAACAACAGCTCTTCAGTGTGTCTGTGTAATGTTTGGTACTACATGAGTTATAACCTATATCATTAAGAATAATAATAAATTTCCATTTTAGAACCTAAATTACCAGAAGGCAAAGGTAACACCTTTTGGTGCCATATTTGTGTTTGGCTCTCCTGCCTCATCTGTTCTCCATGAGGCTTCAAAGTGAAAATGTGACCAAGACACTAATTTTTCACTCCTTCCCTCTCCTTCAGCGCTTAAATTTACATGTAGCTCAGACTGAAACTGCGTGTCTTGTTTTGGCAGGAATGCTACAGAATGGAAAGAAGTTTGACTCCTCCAGAGACAGAAACAAGCCTTTCAGGTTCAAGATTGGCAGGCAAGAAGTCATTAAAGGATTTGAAGAAGGTGTGACACAGGTACAAAGAAATTATTCTAGCTGAACTTCAAGCTGGCTGAAGGGTGTGTGAGCACAGCAATGTCCAGTGTAATGGTGGCAAGACCAAGTGGATTTGAGTGAATTTGTATTATTTGCTTCACAGTAAGGCCTAGGAGTAGCTCAGGACCCGAGTGTGCTATAGAAACCAGAAGCCAGGGCAGATAAAGCAGTAGCAACAAGTGCTGGGTGAATCAGTTTATCCCTTCTGTGACCACTCTCACTGCCTGACTTCTGTCCCTTAATCAATAGGCGGCCAAAAAGCTGTCCCAGTAATTGGCGTGCAACCCGTTGCCCTCCTGCTCCTCCTAGTGGATCGCCGGCTGAAGCTGAGCTTGTATCTCTCTCCTTCCCCCCCAGGGTTTTGAGGTTTATGCGGGGCAGGTTTTGACACAAAGCATTTGGACAAAGGCAGTTCAGTCTAACATGCAGGTTTTTCATTAAGCCTGGATTTAATGACTGTCAGATGCCACAGGCATCTGCATTTCTCTACTTAACATCTGACAGCTCAAGGTTGCCCTATGCCTGAAACCCATGGATGGCTTGCTAGCTGTGTGGCTTTCAGGGACCTATCAGAGCAGCAGGCAGCCTGCCCCACATAGACCTCTGCAGGGGCCAGGGGAGGTCACTTGCTCTTGCCCCCCATGGTCTGAACACTGCCTGAACTTAGGGAAGTTCATATTCACATTTTTCTTCTACCTAAAGTCATAAAAGCTCTATCTTGGGCATATTTTATAGGACCTGAAAAAAAATCAACAGGAGATACCATGTAATCTGTTGTCCAGTGATGCATCTCATCTTGGGGGAGAGGTCCGAGTTAAAACAGTGCTTCAAATCAGGGACTGTTTCTCGGCCAGTGAATAGTCAGTCATTATGTATGGTGCATGAATAGCAGTTTGAGATTGCTCCACCCCAAAATACTGTGCTGGGAGAGCAGGGATTTGATTCTTGATACCCCAAATCTCTGTGAGCGCTGTCACCTTCAGAGCTAGTCTGGAGTGAGAGAAATCAGTATCTCTGTCCATCCCAGGGCAAGGGCACTCTGCCAGAATAAGCAGCACCTGAGGTGAGATGTCTGCCCTCAGGTTTGGGATGAGAAGTAAGTACCTCTTTTCAGTAGGATTTTTTTGCTTTGCATCTGCCCAGCAGCAGAAAGGCTGGTGCCCACAGTGTTAGTGTTTGAGCAGTGGCTTTGAAGGCATCTCTGGTGGCAGCTGAAGGAGGAAAAATGTTGCTGAATGCTTTTCAAAAGCTGAACCAAAGTGCATTTTGGCACTAATCTCTCCTGTCTGTTACTAGCTCCATCTACCCTGCCCTGCTCATGGCCCCTCACCTCTGACAAAAACTGACTCCTGAAGAGATGGAAAGTGATACTTCTCAAAGACATCCACTGCTGATGATGTTACATGTACACTGCACTCCATAGAAGGAGTTCACACCTACAGTCCAGCGTAGGTAGGGTGGGCTCCCAGGCTGGCTCTGGCAATTTAAATAACTGCTGTGAGAAGCCAGGGGAGTCAGAAGACCTATGTCTGAGCTGGGTGTGGCAGCCTGAAGCTGAGCCATGGTTGAACTCTATGATCTTAAAGGCCTTTTCCAACCTAAATGATTCCATGAATACAGTGGTCCCGACTCTCCTCATTTCTGTCAGTCTGACACACTGTGATTTGTTCTTTGTTTTCCTCCTAATACGGTTTGGTTTTTTCTTCTTTTTTCCTTTCTTCAACATCCAAAACCCAGATGAGCTTAGGACAAAGAGCAAAGTTGACCTGCACACCTGAGATGGCCTATGGAGCCACAGGCCACCCTGGGGTCATCCCTCCCAATGCCACGCTCCTCTTCGATGTGGAGCTACTCAGGTTGGAGTGAAACTTCTCAAGGGAGTTGGCTGGATACATCTGTTAATACCCATCCATCCTTTCTCACCTTGCCAGCAGCGGGAGAAACCTTCACTGGAATCCCAATCTTCCCTGCTCAAGCTGTCCTGTCACTAGCGCCTGCTGTTCGGTTTCTTACGCCTTCCTTCTCTTTTTTTAACTTCGTGGTGTCCGTATTTGCCTTTTTGGGAAAAATGTCTACTGTTGTAACATTTTCAAGTTGTACATTTTATTTAATTTGCATGTAAGAGGAATTCACAGTGATGGTTGAAAATATATATAAATATAAATATATATATATTCCTTATTGAAAAACCACTGCCTTACTGTACACTTAAACCAAGAAGAAAACAAAACACAAAAGGTGCTCAAAGAACAATCCAGTGTACACCTTGTACATGAACGGGCATTAGCCAAACAGAGTTACCTGCGCTGCCACTTTTCTCAACTTGTATGTTTCTGCTTGCTGCTGTTTTAAAAATACTGTCTCATTTAAAAGTATATATAGAGAACAATAAAACCTTGATACTTTACAGTTTCTATTTCCTGTTTTTATCCTCCTGCCACTGGAATTCTTTTTGGTGTATGAGAAGTTCTTCTAACAACCATCAACCCATTTTTTGTTAATTCTTTCTTTTTTTGTATGAAACACACACACTTCCGTGTGCTGCTCCTGTTACAGGTGGCACAGTGGAGGATCTCTGTGCGACCAGAGGTACCAGCAACATGCAAGTAAGGGCTGCTGGGACAGAGAGGTTTCCTGGCTCCATCTACCCTGCCCTCCTCATGGCCCCTAACCTCTGCCAAAATTTGGCTGCTGAAGAGACAGAAGATGATACTTCTCAAAGACATCCACTGTTGGTGCAGGGCCGCCATCCACAGGGACCTGGACAGGCTTGAGAGATGGGCCAGTGCAAACCTCATGAAGTTCAACAAGGTCAAATGCATGGTCCTACAGCTGGCCTGGAGCAACCAACCCTGGGTGGAAACCGAATTGAGAGCAGTCCCAAGGAGAAGGACTTGGGAGCGCTGGCTGATGAAAAGCTCAATGTGAGCCAACAATGTGTGCTCACAGCCCAGAAAGCCAATCATATTCTGAGCTGCATCAAAGGGAGTGTGGCAGCAGGTCAAGGGAGGTCATTCTCCCCTCCTACTCCACTCTCACGAAACCCCACCTGCAGTGCTGCACCCAGCTCTGGTGCCCCAGCATAAGAGGGATGTGGAGCTTTTGGGCTGAGTCCAGGGGAGGCACAAAGATGACCAGGGGCCTTGCCTATGCCCTCCTGTGAAGAGAGGCTGAAAGAGCTGAGCTTGTTCATCCTGGATAAGGCTCTGGGGAAACTTTAGAGCAGCTTCAAGTATCTAAAGGGGGCCTAAAAGAAATCTGGAGAGGGACTTTTTGCAAGGACATGGAGGGATAGGACAAGGGGGAATGGCTTTAAGCTGAAAGAGGGGAGATTTCAATTAGCTATAAGGAAGAAATTCTTCCCTGTGAGGGTGGTGAGGCACTGGCACAGGTTGCCAGAACAGCTGTGGCTGCCCCATCCCTAGCAGTTTTCAAGGCCAGGTTGTACAGGGCTCGGAGCAAGCTGCTGTCGTGGAAGGCATCCCTGCCCATGGCAGGGGGTTGGAACTAGATGACTGTTAAGGCCCCTTTCAACCAAAACCATTCTACCACTCTGATTTCACCAACAGGCTAATTTCCTATATATATATATATCTATCTATATCTATCTCTATAGGGAATCAGCCCTGTCAAGACTTGATGCCCACTAGCTCTTCCAAATTCATTTGCCACTGCCCCAGCCACTGTTGCACTGTCCATACCAGCACTGGGTTGCAGATCACAGGCTGTCGCACTAGTTGCGGGTATGAGCTCCTACAGAGGTCTTGGTTGAATGTTAACACATCTCTGTCACATCTGTCAAACACAGGTCAATCCAGCACACTGCTCTAAAACTGCGCCTACTGATGGCCCAGTTTAAGTTAGTTGCCCTTTAAAAAAAAAAAAAGAAAACATCAAGTATCTGACCTGGACCTTTACCTGAACGCCTTGACAGTGAGCAGCGATGCAGAAGATTGGCTCAGCATACCTGGAATGGCCATGCGTTCCCTCCATCATCTCTTGGTCCTGCAGCCAGCAAGCTTCTGCCACACCTAAAATGAGCAGAAGGGCATTGCTCTGCCCCTCTGTCAGTAAAAAACATATTCCTGGTCATATTCAGCCTCCCTGTCTCCCTCTGCAGCACTGCTATGCACTTCCCTTGTGCCCTCAAAAGCTCTACCCAGCCATTACAGAATTTGTAAAATCCTTATTACAGCTGGCTGATGAAGCGCTCCCCCTCCTCACCCTTTCTCTGCAGAGGCAATTGTCAAAAGCAGAGGGTATTACATTTTTCATGCCAATTTCATTTAAAAAAAAAAAAATCTGAAAGGAAAACTAATTGTGCTTTGTGATACTTTGGGAAATTAAGTCTTCAAGGAAATGTAATCTCCAGCTCTTTCTTTGACTGCAAATGCTTTAATTTATTTAATTGTATCATCGATCAACACACTACATGTAATTATTACTACTGTATAATGGATTGGAAGAAATTTACTGTCATTGCCTGTGTAATCAGATATGCTCTTGTTACTGATTTCTAAACAGCATCGATGGAAAAAAATGACCTTCCAGGCTTAATTTCATGCCCTACTTCCTGAAAATTAAATGGGAAGTGAGCACACACAAAAACCAGCACAGATGCAGAGTACAAGGCTGGTAACATCTGCCTTATTTGCTGCCCCCTCTGCCATTCATAACTGATCTCATTTCCCTGTCCTTTGATATTACATTTCAAACAAAATCTTGAGCAGACCTCATCAAAACAATCCTCCAGGCATTCGATTTCCATTCCCTCTGTCTTGCAGGTACAAATTATTATTTCATTTTACATGTGCAGGGACACTGAAAGCCCTGAACAGGCACTAGAAGAAAAAGTATGAAATGGAATATTTAATGAAAGGCAGCAGCTGAGCTCTCAGAGAAATCAAAAGCTGCTGATCTTGAGGATTCATTGAAGGCATTTTTATTAATCTTATTACCCTAAAGAATTGCTTTTTATAGATGTTTTTCAAACAGCATCAAATCCTCATCTAAAGAGCCACTGTGGTGCAAGTACCGCACTCTCTGCTATTGACAGAAGCAATGCGGTATTTGCACGATTTTAAACAAGGCCAGAAGCCTGTGGCACCATTACCAGCACTTTAGTGGTTTATTATCAGTATTTATTCTTATTTGAAGCATAAATCCAGCATGCTAACAAGCACCTCCAGTTTCTGTTACAGCAAGGGGCCTTCTAAATGCCCACCAACTTGTGTGAATGGCCCTTATTTGGCACATGTGTGCGTATGTATGGCACATATACATTGATACATATATACACACATACACAGTGGAGGCCATTTCTAAAATTTAAAAGCTACGGATGCTGACACAGAATCAATAGAACTTCATTCATTTAAATGTTTTTAAGGCAAGCTGGGTTTTGCTTTTGAAATTTAGGTTTGTATAATCCGACAGGCAAGCCCGCAAAATCAAGCTGGCACTTGTTACTTGTTACAGTAACAGCTCACCTAAGAACAACAGCAGATCACAGCTGCTTCACATTTAATGTACCTGTGACACAGATGCACCCAACCAGAGGAGCAGCACAGGTCAGGTCATGACTTTTCAGTGCTTCAGAGATGACCACAGCCACTCACAGGCTCCAAGTCTCTCATCACCTGGTTCCTGACTGCAGGGACAGCTCTCTGGGGCCTGCAAGGCTGCAGGAAGCAGCATAGCTTTTAGGGAAGTACATGGGTATGAAGAGCCACAAAATGAGTACAAGACTTTTTACAAGAGACACTGGATGTAATTCTCGCTTGCACCCCAAAAACTGGTCTGCAACAGAGATTAAGGCAGACTCATTGGCCAGACACCAAGTAGGATTTTGAGCACCCACTCAAAGCTAAAATCACACCCCAGCCATTTCAGCTACCTCCTCACAGGCGCTCAGGGGTGAAAGAGCCAGCTCAGAGCATCACTGCCACCCTTCACGCTTCTCCTCACCAGATGAGGAAGAACAAAGGATCTGTGCAGCACACAGCAGCCGCACGGGACTTCCTCCACGTGAGTGTCAGACATGGTACCCAGAGCTGGGTGTCCCTCCCCATCACTCACATGCTGAACACATGTGTTCATGTATGGCAACAGATACTCTACAAAGTCTTACCTGAACCATGAGCATTCAGGCAACACATGACTTGCTTTCTGAAAGGAAAGCTTACATGCAGAAGTAGCATAGCATAAAAGCAAGTCTTGCTGGAAAAACAGAAAACCACAAGGTAGGCAATATTTATTTTTTTACTCAATGGACCCAAAACCAGCATGGTTCTTTAAGTGACAATTTTGAACAAAAAAAATCCAAGAAAATAGAAATATTCCTTTATGACAGTCCAATGCACTGAAAAAAAAAAAAACCACCCTAACTTAAATCCCAAATCCTCAGACAAAGTATGTTTGCATCTGCCCATCTTCTGCACTGGCTGGAAGTTGTCTGCTCAGGGAGTTAAATATCACATCCAAGCAGATAAATTCTCCTGAGGCAGGATACTACCAACATTCATACAACTCCCAGCGGGTTCAGAACAGGCGTAGAGGTGATTCTTTTCCACTTCCAAAACACAGAGTATGCATAACCCATGTAGCACACTAATTTTTATTCATAGGACACGAGTGCTAAAAAAAAACAAGCCAAAAAATTTACATCTGTTTATCTTCCACTAGATGCTACATCTAAGAATTTCTGTACATGAAATATATTACAGTTCAAAAACACCAATTAGAAAACAATCGCACTACAGGTATTGAAAATTACCATCTTCACCTACTGCCTTGTTTTGGTCAGGTGTTTTCTACTTAACATTAAAAGGCATCAGGTTTATTCCTGCCACTCCTAACATGGTACATGGGATAACTTTCCTGTATCACCCTGCAGTGATGCACTATTAGAGGAAGATAATTTTACTGCAGCTTATCAGCTTTGTCTCAGTCACTGGGAATGATCTGGCTGAAGTCACCTGAACAGTTGGATTCTTTTAAAAGGCAAATGATTTTCCATAGTTTGTAAAAGAAACTTACAAGCATGGACTTGGGCTTGCTTTGTTTCTAGTAAGCAGCCACCTAATGATCACATAAGGAAGTGAGGTTCGTTCAAACACTCCTAGAGGGAGGAAGGCACAACAATTTGGGTAAAATATACAGGTGTGAAGTATCAAACCATACTCCATTCTTCTTTAAAAAAATCACACAAAAATCGCTGTAACAGGGAGACTAACTGAAATGCTCTGTTTTCAGAAAGCAGCAAATGAAATTTACCTGCCTACAGCCAGCTCAGGCAGAGCCCCTTCAGCTCTGGATTAACTGCTGCCACCTGGAGGCTGGGTGGAACTTCAGGAGAGGAAATGCTCAAGCAGCTTAGTCCCATCTTAAAAGGTACTGCTAGAAACAGGACTGGGGTTACGCTGCACTGTTACTGACAACACAGAGAAGCCGCCTCTATTTATGGGAATTTAATCTTAAATCAGATCTTCCAGTGTTTTACATTTATTTACTTCTAATGTGAAGATCTAAAGATTCAAATTACAGCTTATAAAATTTAAAGGAAAAATTATACTTAATTGAGAATTCCTGTGTCTAGGTCAAGAATTCAATGGCAGGTCTTGAAAACAGTTTACCAAAAAGAGCAGTTTATTTTGGTGGGTCTGTATTAATTCCATATTTTTCCTTGAGAAGTTTAAGCTGTTCCTCTTTCTTCTTTGTGTCCATCTTTTGGAATGCCTGGAATTAGGAAGAGAAAAGATGTGAGAAATAATAAATTAAAAAACTCATCTTCTGCATGTTATTTCCTAGTAACTGCAACCAACATCACTAAGAATTACTCCAACAGCAGTATTTAATCCTTGGCCCCAGAGAATGCCTGCACACCAAGTCACAGGCAGAACATCTTTTTACCTGCACACAAGATCTCACATCCTGCAGCAAATGTGCAGCTGTAAGCCCCTGCTTCCTCTTCTCCAGTCTCCAGAAACATGTTTTTTAACACCTTTTTTTCCACACAGATCACCAAGTAAAGATGAAATCCTGTCAATTTATCCAATCAATTCCCACTGCCAGTTTGGATTCATTTCTTAAAATTATCCAAGCACCTCTCTTTTCAAACAGCATTTCTTTTTGTGCTAGCTGTGCTCAGAGGTAACTTAAAAACCCCCAAGTGTACATACCCTGTTTGCATTATAGTACAGAACAACAAGGTATCTGTTGCACACATTGAATCCTGATAGGTGATCACAAGCATTTTTGGCGTCAAAGATGTCTTCATAGACCACATAGGCTGTTCCTCTAGTTTCAGGAGTGTTTCCACTGCAAGGCAAGATGAATTTTAATGTTCAACAAAATTAACAAGAAATAGTTCTACTGGTCTTCAGCACCGAGATTAAATTAACTAATGCAACTTCATGAGAAAAAAAATTTCTTCTTATTTTTTTCTAAATCACAGAATGGTTTGGGTTGGAAGAGACCTTCAGTATCACCTAGTTCCAACACCCTGCCATAGGGAGGGACACCTCCCACTATTGCAGGTTGCTCCAAGCCCCACCCAACCTGGTCTTGAGCACTGCCAGGGATGGGACAGCCACAACTTCTCTGGGCAACCTGTGCCAGCATCTCACCAGCCTCACAGGGAAGAATTTCTTTCTAATATGTAATCTAAATCTCTCCTCTTTCAGTTTAAAGCCATTACCCCTTGTCCTCTCAAGATGTTAAAATACATTCCCGCTTTCCACACCAATCTCCACTTACAGTCCAGAGTCAGAGACAGGATAATGAAAGAGAAGCATGTGCTGCATTATGCTCCTTAAGGGAAATTCACCTCTCCACAACAGCCATCAGAAGCTGTTGCTGTCAGGGTTGTCATATTTCTGGAAATACTTTAAGTTTTCATTACAGCCATTAGCTTAGTTTATTTAATATTACAAGGCTGGGCTGTCAGTTAATGGCTGTCTGGATCACATGCCTCCCCAGGATGGAATACGGCTCTGGGCATATCACAAAGTCAATTTAAAAGAGTCAAAACAGCCTTGCTGGTGCAAGACCAGGTCAGGTGCACAACCATTGCCTATCAGGCCATCAATCCAATTTCCTTTGCCTGAGGGACCGGAGACATGTCTAAGCACATAAGCCTAACCAGCGCAGAGAGACTGCAGAGTTTACAGATCCAAAAGACCTCAGCTAAAAAGATAGCTACAGCAAACCTAATAACTAGAACTGTCTCCAAGGTGCTTGCTTCTCAGAAGAGAACTCCTGAGGATAAACGATACCACACATATCCACACCAGAATATATAGAAGTGCAAAGAGGAGAATGGGATAAAAACCACACTAAGCACACAAGTGACTACAACAGGACTTCCATGTTATGGATGTTTCTGTGGAAAATATGAGCCAGGAGTTCTGAACAAGCCTTTGGACATATACACCAGCGCATCACTGATGGAAAGTTCCCCCAGTACATCTTAATTCTTTATGTCCCACTGTCATGCTGTTCTAACCTAATTTTCAGGAACCCTTTAGTATTTGTTCTCCTTTATGCTTATTAGCAAAGAATTGCACCTATCTGGCCAAGCAGTAGGTTTACTTTGGCCACTTCTGCAGTCACTTCTGTTGCATTTCCCTGCATGAGAAGGATCTCAGTAGCTCCACCTTCCCAACACAGCACCAGCAGTATGACTGATCCCCCCATTCTTGTTTATTGAGGCAATTCTAGATGTAAAACTCACTTTATTCTATACAGTGAACAACCACACTATGGCTTCAAAATGAGCCATAGTGGGTACTTAACTGGGTACACTATTTGGGGTACTTAAGTTTGGTCTGTTTAACTGTTTACATATTTACATCCTGCACAGTCAAAACAATTCAGTTCATTGTGGATTAATCACCATCCCCAGTCCCAGAGCATGGGGAATTGGAGAGCGATATAAATGAATAACAAAGATACATTCCACTTTAACCTCATCAGCAACAGAGATGCTGCAGGTTATTTTGCCATCAGGTCAAAAAAAAAAAACAAAAAACACCAAAAAAACAACAACCTATGCCAAATATAAACTACATTTCCTTTGTATTTGTACACCTACTGAAATGCGACTTACAATGTTTTCTTTTAAGTACTGAACACCAAGTTTAATTTCCTCCTTCTTTCTTCCTAAATACTTGTCTTAATAGGAAAAAAAACCAATCCTTTTGTGTGAGTGTCAGTACTCTAACCAGCATTACTACGGTTCCCAAAAGTGCTTCCTGAATTCCAGCTTCAGCCAACTCTTCCCTAGAACCTTGGTGGAACATAATACTAACCAGATGAAATTATGGTTTAATCTGCAGCATTCAGACAGTACTCAGGGTAACACGGAACATCAGAATGCAAGTCTTTAATGTCTGAAGTAATTAAGAGAAAAACCTCAATCTGCTGTATAACCTCAGTGCATTTTAGAACAGAATTTCAGTCAGACTGCCATCATCCACAGGTGTGTGGCTCAGGGACAAACTGCATCTGAAGCACAGGGCACTGTTACTGGTCAACAGGTCCAGCAGCTACAGTAATATCTCTATTTTCGCATCAGTCAAGTATCTAATACTCACTAAATATCAAAACCGGCTGTTTTCAAATTTTGCCTTTCTCATTTTTATCTGTAGTTAAGATAAAAGGTTAAAGATATTTAAGATTTGCTTAGGAGAGCTTCCCATATTTTTACCAGCACACCTAAGCCCACATCAGAATTACGCTTTTTCACCTTACCTACCAGCAATAATATTTTCTAAGGAATTCACACATAAGAGAAATATCATCACACCCACCTTTGGCACATATGGATACTGCTAAAGTGCATTTAACTTTTTCAGCTACAAAATCCAGTTGCTATCTACTGCAATAAGAATACTGATATTAAAGCTGATCAAAATCCTTAACTTTTCACAAAGAACTAAAATACTTACACTCTGATTTGTCGAATAGGCCCATATTTCCCAAAAATATCGTACATTTCTTCTGCTGTGATTTTATATGGCAGGTTCCTAATATACAGTATCCGATTGACTTCTGGGGGCAGCCGAATCTGATGCAAAAACAACATACGGTGTGTTAGAGCTAGTGTGCTCACTTCAAACCTTAAAAGCTGCTACCTACGAGCTAGATCTTTGAGCTACCATCAGCAAGACAGTCTGTGTGCTCCCCAGGTCCACTTTTGACCCTTCAGAGCTACAAACTTGACGTGTTTCTGTCAAACAAGAGGCCCGTCTGGAGAGGAACGGGCTCCCTTAGCCGGAGACTTGGAAAGGAGCTCAGGCCAGGCGGGAAGGGCCTCCGGGCCGGGGCACTTCTCACCACCACGGAAGACTGCGGCGGGCTAGGGAGCGGGCGGGGGGGAGAGCACTCACGTTGGCTCGCTTGGCCGCTTGCATCGCCATGGCGCCGGTCGGAGAGAGAGGGGGCTGCCGCCTGGGAGAGAAACACCGGCAGGGCACGGAGCCTCGGCAGACGTACACCCCTCACCTCAGCGGGGGACCCGGATGCTATCCCAGCGTGCCCTGCGCCGGAACAGCAGCCAGCCACGCACAGGCGTGTGGGAGCCACGTGAGCAGCGTGCTGCCCCGCCCCCCCGGCCCCGGCCCCGCCCCCCCCGGCCCCGCCCCCGCCCCCGCGTGGGTACGGGCTGATGGTGCCCGAGGCCCTGCGGTCGGTAGTAGGGGGTTCTTGGGGCGCCGCTTCAGGGACACAGCCGCCTGGCCTGTGGGGAAGGCAAAGGAACCCGGAGCTGGGCTTGGCAGTCCGTCCCCCCCCGTTCAAGACACGACGCTAGAGCTGCAGTATGAATCTCTTTAATGAGCGCGTTTTGTAAGGCACTGCTTTACCCCTCCTTTTTGGCACCTTCCCACAGTAAAACCTTCCGATGTGGAAGCAGAAATTCAATTTCTTTGCTTGTCAAGCACTCCTAACTATTGCGTCCCTGGAACTAAATCAGGTATTTGAATGACAATCTTGCCAATATTCTCGTTTTTCTCCATGGTCCTGTGTGCCTCAGCAATGTCATCCAGACGGTAAACGCTGTGGACAGCTGGTTGGAGATGAGGAGACATTCCTCTGGAAAAATACGGCAGCACCTTTTCTGTGAAGTCCTTCACCAGCTGTTCCTTATACTGAAGGAGAAAAGAAGCATTTTGAAGGTTATTACCAGTCATTTAATTCACAGAGGTATCTCTAACCACAGTGCACAGTTCTCAAGGAGATGTTTCCTGATGTTTTCATGTGAGACAGACGTGTAAGCAACTGACAGGTAAAAGTTACAAGAAGAAAACTTTTAGATTATACTTTAATTGACTGAAATTCTCCAAAACAAGTTGTATAAGCTTAGTGCAGAACCATTTAAACTCAAACTGATTAAAGTTCTTGAGAATATTATGTATTAAACCATGCAAAAATCTCTCCCAGGGCTCTGCACTGCTGTCTTTCACTGTAATATCTGAGAATTTTCTTCATAAGGTGATTCTTCTTTGGTAATTTCCAGGGATCCAAATGACCTTGGTCTCTACTTTGAAAAACGATCTGACAGGGGTTTTCTCCCCACCCACCCCTAACTTGATGAAGTTTCCTGATCACTTGAGGGTTTTTTTAATTTTTAGGCCAAGTCTTTGAACTATGGTACTTGTGAAGTATGTTAGTAAGTCCTGGGTATCATTCCTCTGATTCAGCAGCTGTAAAAGGGATGCATTTGATAGAAAAGGGAATTTACAACTTAATTTTGCAGTGTTTTCCAAAGTATGTAGTAACAGTTCAAGGTGCTGCTTTTTTTTGGTAATAATGTGTTAGATTCTGCTTTAACATTCATATCAAAAGAAAGCTCTCAAACTCACTGATTTTAAGATAAAACTGTATACACTGTTGACAGCCATTACTTGCCTTCTTGTCTCTTGATCGTAATAGACTTGTGTGGATGGCTGCTCTTTTGCTTAGCAGGCTTGAAAGCAAATCTCCATGTACTTCACCTCCACCTAGTAGTCCATAAATAATCCACCGGCCATCAGTACTCAGACAGTTGATATTCTTCTCCCAGTAAGAGCCACCAACAGGATCCAAAATTATATCTACTCCAGAACCTCAAGCAGAAACAGAAAATGTATCAACAATGTAGTTAAGCTGCATTAAAGGCAGGAGAATTTCAGGCAGAACTAAAACCTTATACTTTACAGGTACAGAATCAATCCTGCAATTCTGATTTGAATCTTTCTACTGAAATTAGGAATTGGCACAATGATTTGTGAGGAATTCTAGAATTGGGAACAAAAAATAATCATTAGATACAGGTATCTATATATAGTTAGATACATATAGATTGATATGGATATCCAGATGCAGACTGCATCATAAACCATCCCAAATGCTTAGAAAAGCTAATTTTTTCTAACAGAGAAATTTTTTTTTGTTCCTGTATTCAAGCACTTAAAAAGGCAAGTGCAAGGATCCCACAGTTCCTTGTGGAGGCAGCAATAACACAGGCACAATATTTATGCCCCAAATGAACAGAGATTCCATGCAGAAAACTGAGTGCAATTAAACTAAGGAAAGATACATTCTTGGGCTGAACAGGAATGTTCAGCCTGAATGGGCTGAACAGCCTATTCTTGGGCTGTTGGTTGTTCCAACATCATCATTATTGTCTGCTCCTTCACCAACTAAGGTGACAGTTGAAACTGAGTGTATGTGCTTGTAGATTCAGAGGTGCACACTCCTTAGCTGTAACAGTGTCTTTCACATTGAGGTTCTTACCTTGGGTGAACGCCAAGACCTTTTCACTAAAATTTTCATTCCTGTAGTTGAACCCTACAGCTGCTCCAGCTTTTTCTGTTGCTTTCAGTTTTGCTTCAGTTCCTGCTGTCACAATGGGAATAGCTTTTGCCAGTCTTACTAGATGAATGGCTGCTATACCAACTCCACTAGCTCCAGCGTGGATCAACACTTTCTCGCCCTCCCGTACTTTACCTGAAGGAGGATGTAAGGGAAACTGTTACCCCTTTGTCATCACATTTGGATTAAAACACAAGCAGTGTGGAAAATACTGAAGAGGAAACTGAAAGAGATGCCCTTAAGTGGGCTTTGTTTACATCTTCATATCCTTCATAAAAGAAACAAATGCAGAACTAACACAGCTCACAGTGTACTAACAGGACTCCATTTTACCATCTCCAGTGGAATGACTTTAGCTTGGCCCTGCTGGTTCTGGGCATCCGTCACCAAGCTGCTGAGGTGAATGCAGTCAGCCTTTTTATATCAGGACTGTCCACTGCCACCAACAGAAAACACTTGGAGGATATTACTACTGAGAAATCAGGCACTCAACAATGAAGAAATACCAGAAGTGCTGGATAATGTTAAGGAGCAGTTTTAACTATCATTTTACCATCTACCAGTTGCCCTAACACATTTGTGTTCCACTGATTGTTACTGGAAGTGAGGCACTGAGTAGTCCTGAAGGCATGGTCCTTATTGACCACAGGGCCAAAGGAAGCAACACTGCTCATAGCAAGTCTGTATTTTGGGTAGTGAGGAAAGTTACTTGTTTGTAACTGCTGTTCTTTAGTGGAGCTTTTACCTGCTGCTGCTGAAAAGGATAGGAGAAGGATATTCATCATCTGAGGAAAACCCTGGCAAGAGCTACTTTTAGTGCCTTGGTAACTCATTTTCAGAATGAAGAGTGCGAGCTTATATCTGTTTTAAATCAGCTCAGAGGGGATTTTACCTAAAATTAATATTTCTGCGAAACAAGAGAGAAGATGTTGTCTACTGTAGATTCACAAGCAATTAGTGAGAAAGTTCATTATATGGTCATGCTTGCAGCAACGTTAGAAGTAGGATGTGTTTGCAGTTGTCTGGAGAACATGTAAGTTATTTCAGGGTTTAGGCTTAATGGAAATTGCCGTCCAAGCTAAGAAATACAGATGAAAAGAAACCTGACCATCTTTCCGTATCCTTCCTTGTAAATATGCAATCAGCCGAGTAAGTTGTGACTTGGGACACGTGATCAAGTTTTGAGGATTTGGGTCTGGCATACCAGATTCTGAGCCATGTGAATGGAATGACAGAGAAGAGGTTCTTTGGAAGCAAACAGCATACAGGTGGAGGCAAGAAAGAGAGGATTTCAGAACAGAAAAGAAGACAGGCTTCCTGTGCTGGGATAGATTTGCAAATATGCTTCTCACCTACAAAGTGCAGCAGCTGAAAGGCTGTTATCCAGGCTTCAGGAATAGCTGCAGCCTGAGTAAAAGTCATATCTTTGGGAATTGGCATGAGACAGCCTTCGGGTACTGTAACGTATTCTGCCTGGCCACCTCCGGAAAGCAGAGCCATCACTGCATCACCAATCTTCCACTGGCCCCTGCAGCCAGGTCCGAGCTCAGCCACATTTCCAGCTGCTTCTAAGCCTAAAATATCGCTTGCTCCTTCAGGGGGAAGGTACTTCCCTCTCCTCTAAAATAAAACAAAAGCGAGGGCAAGGAAGGAAAAGCCATGTATCAGAGAGTGTAATGACCTGCAGTATTTCATTCACATCCAACCTAAATTCCTACTTATTTAATCCTGATTTTTGCACTGTGCAAATGCTCAGTAAGTTGAGCATCTTCTATACTCTAGCAACACTTTTTGTTTCCCAAGTAGGTTTTAGTTTTAAAACTCTATCTGGAAATTCAATCTGTTGTGAGTCCCCTTTGACCAGGCCAGTCCATACTGGAGAATTATTATGGTCCCCAGTTGCAGAGTGTGGCTTTCAGCTCAAATTAAAAAAGCTCATACTTAACAATTGGAATGTGATTTTCCCCTGCTGTAATGGAGCCAGTGAAATATTTCATGTTCATCTCAAATGCCCAGAGAATGGTCTAAGCATCTAGAAAGACCGGAGTTCTGGTTTAAATCTTTTCTTGAAAGGCAGCTGCCTTTCCATGCCACTCCAGCATTGCAGTGACCCAGACAAAAACACTTAACTGCTGAATCAACAGACATAACTTCATGAACTCTCCCATCCCATTGCTCACCAGGTCTCTGTTTTAACTCTTCAGATTTGTCAAGACTTCAGAGAAGGGCTTGAAAAAATCAGTATCATTTTCAGGTGCATTAATCTGCTTAACATACACATACCTGGAGTAAATCAGCCCTATTCAGAGCACTGGCAGAGACCTTCACAAGCACTTCTCCTTCTCCTGGGTTTGGTTTCGTCACGTGTTTCACATAGAGATTTTCTGGGCCTCCTGGGCAATCAAAATAGACAGCCAACATTTTATCTGAAAGAAAGAAAAACCAAAAAACCTGGCATGAATGCAGGCACACTTATGTGCAGCTGTAAAGTCTCAGTAATCATTAACCACAGCTCCAGAGACTCCACTTTGCAGATGAAGAATGCAAACTGTGACACAGTTCAAAGGTAGAAGAGGGGAGAGTGGCCAGAGAAAGCGGAGGAATTACAGTGCAATGAAGTATGTTAATGTTGGGACACAACTTATCATTGCAAAAGCCATTTGACAAACCACAAAGATCACCTTGCATCAAGGCACATGCTTTAATCCTGCACAGAACCATGTGTGGAGCCGGCAGTGCTCACTACCCACCTAAACTGTGAAATGTAACACACAAATGAAAACAGTCTCCCTTGCTCTGAACTCCCTGCATGATTAGGGCTCCAGTGCTCAACTGACTGAAGGACAAGGCCTCTTAAAATGGTAGACACAAATGAGATTTTAAAACTCTCAACAGAAAGAACCTTTATTGAACACATCTAAAATCACGTAAGTGCTGCTTTACAGTTCAGCCCATAGACAACAACTTGAAGATACATAAAGGCACAATGGTGATCTAGCACAAATGAAAGATAACAAATGGTTTTAAAAATTCTTATCCGTTTTGCCTCAGCAGGTGATTCCAGTGTGCCTAATTTGCGCTGGTAGAGAGTCCCGCTGCTACAGGAGTCGCTCAAGTAACTCCTCAGACACTGTTCTGGGGTCCTAGCTTTTGCACAAGCAGTTGTTAAGGTGAGCTGAGAGGTCCAGCCTTCTGCCTGGCAAAATCCAACCTGCTGCAGTCTTCCCTGTGTCCACTAGGTGGAAGGAAAGCACCAATGAGGATCCCAGTATATTGCTTTCAAATGGTCAGAAGAATTGGAAAGCAAGTTTCCAACAAAAAACAACTTAAAACTGTCAGATCTGCCAGCACTGGCCCAAAACAACAATTCAAAGAAGCTATGTGGTTCCCGAGCACAATTCGTGACTCACTTTTTTCCTGTAAAGGAAGGAAGGATGTTCTCCACACCAGGAACAAACCCAGCCGGTGTTCAGGAGCAGAATCTGATCCCGGTTCCTCCTCTTCCAACTCTTGCGATTGGCGTTCTCGAGAACAAATATGTCTCACTTTTTTTCCTGTAAAGAAGGTTGTTCTGAGCACTGGGAACAAACTGCCTCTCTCAGGAAGAGTTTGATCTCAGTTCCTCCTTTCCCAGCTCTTGCAATTGGCTGCTCCCGAGCAAGTCAGAGGGTGGAGCACGATGAGGGTGTGTTTTACTTTGGAGGGACAGGCATGAACAGAGTCAGAAATATTACTGCATCTCACCATTATTTCTACCCACGGACCTAGTCCACCGATTGAGGCACAAATCTACTTTCCCTTTTGGCACTGAGGTAGAGATCTTCTGCTCCCCCCATGTCGTAGTTTAAGCCCAGCTGGTAACTCAGAACCGTGCAGCCGCTCGCTCACTCACCCACTTCTTCCTCCCCCCAGTCCCAGAGGGATGGGGAGGAGAATCAAAAGAATGTAACTCCCACAGGTTAAGAACAGTCCAGTAACTAAGGTATAGCACAAAACCACTGCTGCTGCCACCAATAATAATAATTATAAGGGAAATAACAAGGGAAGAGAATACAACTGCTCACCACCTGCCGACTGATAGCCAGCCCTACCCGAGCAGTGATCTGGGCCTTCTGGTTAATTGCCCCCAGTTTCTATACTGGGCATGACATGCTGTGGTATGGAATACCCCTTTGGCTAGTCTGGGTCAGGTGTCCTGTCTGCTTCCACATTGCTTCTTGTGTTTCTCCTCACCTGGCAGAGCATGAGAGACTGAAAAGTTCTTGATTAGGGTAAGCATTACTGAACAACTAAAACATAGGTGTGTTATCAGCACTGTTCTCAGACTAAAGCCAAACCACAGCACTGCACCAGCTACTAAGAAGGAGAAAAAAACTGTTACAGCTGAAACTAGGACATCCCAACACAGAGGGAGGTTTGATCCAATGCCCTTGCCGTGCCAGTCCACTGGATGTGGGTGTATTTGTATGTTCTCGTGCAGAGCACTAAACTGCTGATTTGATTTCTGACCAGATATACTAAAATGGCATTAAGGGTGTGAGAGCTGTGACAGTTCTTATGTTATACAACCAACTTAGGAGGCTTTATTGTGCTTTGTTCCTGTAAGCGGTGTTCAAAGTTCACTGGCTTATGTCCACAAGCCCCATGCATTTCTACCTGATGGTTTAGGTGCATGATCACACCTCTTCCTTAAGCTTTGCTCTTTTCTCCAGAAGAAGGATCAGATCGTGCCTTTCTGTGTCCTTGTTACCAGCTCTCGACTATTTGAGTTGTCAAGGAATAAAACTGACACTTCAGAGTATTTAAACGTGATAAATTGTCTGTCTGTCCATGTCTGAGATTATTCTGTCGATTTTTTTCCCTATCAATTTTGAGATTTTGGGATTCAGGCTTTTAAACTCCTCTTTGAAATGAAACTAATTCAGAATCAAATATAGCTTAAAAGTCTTTTCTTCTCATGTGCCTCAAATAATGATTTATTTGTTTCTGCAAATGAAGAGCTCATGGAGCCTCGTCTTCTTAAGACTGATCTTCTTTGATGTCCTTTACACACAGTGTGATTCAAGCCTGGTAGGGATTTGTCCCTCCTCCCCACTCCTCACAGAACTTTGCAATCACTACAGTTCAAAATAACTTTATAGCAGTCAATGACAGTGCAAACTGTCATGTTAAAAATGTGTTTTATTTGTCATATTCAAAGATGTACAGGACAGTCTGAAAATATGTTAATGTAATGTTTTCCTTTGTCCCTTGGGTGAGTGATGCTTTGCGTAGCTGTAATGCTATTAGAGAACTTACTTTGCTTAGTGAGATTAACAGTTTTCTTACCTGGAAACAGGTGAAAAGACACATTAGAAATATTAAGCAGAGCATCCCGAACCAAATCACTTTCAATTCAGTTAGGTAACTTAGAGAATAGATGCATAGGGTAGTCCTCCTATGAGCAGTGAACCTCCAAGCATTCTTGTAAAAACAGAAGGAAACTCAGCAGTTGGAATGTTGTAAAGCAGAAGTTTCTTGCTTAAACTGAATAATGCTTCAAACTTGTATACTTTATCTCCTTGTGAGCAGTGAGAAGTTCAGGTTTTCTGCACATTCAGCTACCTTTCTCTCTAAAGTAGTCTGCTATAAAAATACAAGGAAACAAAAAAAAATCAACAACAGTAAAAATCATACACAGAATTCCTGTAATAGAGATGGGTTTTTTCAAGTTCAAATCCACCTCAGACTACACCGTACTCAAAAGCAGACAGCAGTATTTCTAGCTGACAATTAAAAATACTAATACGTGTATGCATGAGGTATTATCTGTTCCGGAGAATCAACACTGAGCACTTTATATCATTTTCAGAAATCTCTTGTAACATGAAGAAAGGCTGATTTGTTTTCTTTTCACAAAGAAATCATCCAGAACAGCAAGAATAAACTCCAGAGAATGTACTTTGTCAAAACCAATGCAAATCTGGCTCTGGAAACACTTAAACCTTACACTTTACTCAGGAACAGTGACCAGTTACAGACAAGGTGACTATTTGCAAGACCAAGTAACTTGTATGAGAACTGTTACAGGATTTTGCAAATGTTGACAGTTTTTTGCAGTCTTCCAACTTCACTCTTTCTGCCTTCCTCCCGTGGCAGTGAAGGAGCTACCATCAACTATGATATGGCTCCTGAATTTATTACTGAGCCAGCCAACCAGACCTGGGGCTAAATAACACCTTCTGGATCTGCTCCAGCTCCATTTGTAGTACTGCAGAAAAATACTAGGCTAAAGGTAATCTGAAGTTATCTTAAAATATGAGGCCTAATTCTTAGATTTAGTCTCATTAATATTGCCCTAGGTGGAATGCCGCAGAATATATATGGACTCAGTCAGAGATCAATATGATCAGACAAAAAGCCGTTTATTACAAAACCCCTTAAATGCTATTTCTTACACGCACTTACAGTGATTTGCCATATTATGATTGGATACATGTCTTGAAGACCCTTTGCAACTAGCATATAATTGGTTAAGCACAGGTGTGGGAACTTGACCTCAAAAGCTTGCCAACAGCCCACAGTTCTCATTAACTTGGTGAAATCCAGCTTCTTCTTATCTTGCTTGTTTAGGCTTCCTTGGGCCTCTCATGGCCTTGCTGGATTTTCAGACTTTAGGTACCAATTATCCATTCTCCTGTGAGAACACTGTCTCCACAGTGGAAACACTCCCTTGAAAACCTTTCTCATAAGGAAGGACCATTCTGCTTTGGTATTTTATGCCCATTTTGACCCAGTGAATAAAAACTCCTGGTCATGCGCTCAGTAAACTTAACCCAGTGGACATTCTGGAAGCTCTTTGTCCTTATATATGCCATACAGTATCAAAATGGGAAATTTGCTTCTCTGTTCGTAGCCCAGCACATAAATGTCCACCAAAATCATTTGAAGTTGATGTGCTGGCCATGCATGTCAGTGACAAAGGTTTGTAATACCTAAGCTCTCATAGAACCATCACAGCTGCTATGGCAGGCATGAGCTGGAATCATGTCTGGAGCACAAGAAAATGGAGGCTCTCTAGGCAGTGCAGTGGTGGTACAATGGTTTTGTGTCCAACCTGCTGCAAGACACAAAGTAATGGCTAAGAACTAAGGGAAAGTAGAACATTACACAAAGCAGAAGTTGCTCTGATATTTAAGGCTGAAATGAACATAGGAAGGATCCAAAACCATGGGCAATCCAATTCCCTCTTCTTCTGGTCCATCTGCAGCCAGATGCATTTTAGTTAAACAATGTTCAGGGGCTGTAAAGTGTGAAGAAGTGAAGAGGCTGCAAGGAAGGCTAGTCTTTGCCAGCCTGACACCAAGGACAGACCCACCAGCCAAGAACCAGACTTCTGAGGGCCCAGCAGGCAAATTTGGTTTTAAACCCCTAATTTTAGCCCCTAATATCCTGCTCTTGATCATAGTGTTTTAATTGTAAAAGCCTTTTGAAAAAAGGTCTGATGAAAAATTTGTCACTAAGAGTCTTACAGTTCATTCCAGGCAAAATAGCTTATGCCCCAAAACACAAAATAAATACCACTTTTAGGCATCTAAATGAGGAACAAAAGCTAAGGACACAGGGGCCTATAATTTCATTCCTATTCAGTGAAAGAAGATGGGCATATACATAGATGAAGTTGAATCTGCTCTACAAAATATTCTTTAGAAATGCCCATGAAATTCCTTAGAAATTTCTTAAATTACCCCTATGGTGAAAATCGAGGCTATTCTGGGAATCTACTCTTGTGCATTTTACCCATTTAGATTATGCAATAAAATGACTGCATTCTTGATATGGAGTCAGCATATATTACATCAGTAAGATGTGTTACCCTGTTATTTAGCTCCCCAGCCAAGGACAACGAAGAGTGGTTATTCCTTGCCAGCACCTCCACACAAAGGAAAAACTACATTTGAGATGCAGTCGGGATTCTGCAGCTGGTCTGTGAAGGGCTGGAGTTTGCAGTATTCCCATGCAAATGGGGAACGAAGAGTTAGATGTTAACACTAAGTCTTAAAAACAGAGCCCAAGAAAGCTCACAAAGAAAACTCAAGCAGGCAAGGGAAGGAAATGGGCACTTTTCCTGGAGAAGAGGTGCTTTGTTACTGTGAGACAAGGGGACTAGCTTCATGATGTCTCAAGATGTAGGAAAAGAGACTACAACTTTCTCCTAGAGACTCAGCTTTCTAGAGAAGGTCTGAAACCCTTGGAGACCTCATGTCTCTTTGAAGTGGACTGCAAAGCAGAGTATCAAAGCTGACGCTCTACAAAAGTGTGCTTAAGACCTCAGCATGAGGCATATGAGGTCAGAAATGTGACTGCCAGATCATGTTTTGCTGAAGGGTAACTAACAGAAAACTTGTGCCAGAATGGCCAAGGGAAGAGAGTTTGGCAACCACGCCATACCTATGGAGTCTCTGGAACCCAGTGGGATGTGATGTCTGGAGAGGGTTTAGCTGTGGAGCCATAACCACATCTGTGTTCAGTTACCCAGATTTCAGGATCTGTTAGTTTGTCAGATTGATTTTTGAAGCTTTTTGCAAGGGCAGAGCTGATGGGTGAGATGCCAGCATGCAGGTACACAGGTACAGGCACTTCTTACCTAGTTTCTCCACAGCTTCCACGCACACACTGGGATACATGCCCGCTTTGTAAGTAGCAACCAGGATGAAAGTCTTTGTCTTCACAGCTATCAGTCCTCCATCTGGCTAGGTAATATGGAAAACTGGTATAAGGTTACAAGGCTCTAAAAAACCCACATAGATATACATACTGCCTGACAGTTTGGGCCAACTAGAGGCATTTTCTTTGCCAGTATACATTTTTTCTTGGGGGGAAAAAGGCAAATACTGTCTTAAAATATAAGCCAGGACACAGATAAACAGTGGCTTTGCATATTCTGAAAACTATTTATTAAAGCAAGTCAGTCAAATGCTTTATTATATTGCCTTCCATTGATTAATGTCTCACTTCCATTGACTAATGTATTACTGCATATTTTGAAGACATGTTATCCTAGTGCTCAATGTCATATGCAAAAGCACTGATAAATGCAAATAGAATAACTAGTATTGCTGTGAGAGCATGCCCAATGTTTTATGAACCCTGTTTCCCAAACCCTGCCTTGCCAATTTATAATAAGGAATGGAAAAAGACATTGCAAAGTACTGCATTTTCCTGAGAGGGGATCCAAACTTGAGAGCTGCTCAGCCTCTTCTGCAAGTTGCTTAGCTCATTTCAGTGTGGATTTGCTCAGGACGGGAAGAATTAAGATCTCAGTAACAGCCAGTTGGGTGGGTGTCACTTCAGGATGTGTGACTTGGCTGTAATAACAAAATTCTGCTGTCTTGAGCATGGCTGCATGCAGCCATGTCCTCAGTTTGTGTCTCTGAATTTCAGAGGTGAATTACTGAGGCTGGAGCCCCACAAGATGAGTGTCAAACATGTCCTGCTCACCTGGACCTTTTTCTCCCATGACCCAGCTACCTTATTCTGACCCTGGGCTCCCCAGGCCCTTCTATTACCTGTTTAATTAATTAATGAGGCAAGAAACCAATCCAGCAAAAAAATTCAGCAATAGTTTTCTCTCAGCTTAGGGAGATGAACTGTTTTAAAGGAGACCGTAACAAGCCCTGCAGGTGGTGGTGTGGTGTTAGGGAAATGAATGGTGTTATCCATTAAATTTGTATTATACAGCTAACACTTCTTTGTATTCTGCACCGATTTCACTCCACACCTGCTGGGAAGGTGATACGTAGAGAAAGAAAGAGGCATGTGAAGGTTTTCTGCTTGTGTTACAGTGTTCACATAACCAGGCAGCAAGGGAAGGAAGTAGGAAGTCCCCAGATTTCTCAGGATGGCCACAGCTCTTATCAACATACATTCTGAAGACAGATGGAATGCTCATCCGCACAGACACATTTATAGTGCTTCTCCTTGAAGCAGAGTCCTTCCCTTCTAACTTTCAGTAAGTTCTTGCAGAAAGCGTAGATAAAGTTTAAAGCATTCTCTGGTGGCACCTATGTTAGTACATCACAGTCTTATGGACCAAAATTGCACCTCTTTGCAATGATGAACTGCTTTCCACCCTTCCGTCTTCGATAGCTCACTTAAAATTACAATGTAAAAAACCCAACCAACCTACCAACCAAAACACATCTGCCTGGCTCTGAAACTAGACCTACTTTCTATACAGTCCACTATATTTTCAGAGACTCATTTAAAACAACCTACTTAGTCTGTGGTTACCCTCTGCATAGTCTCATTCCTTAGTTACACTCCTCTAGGCCAGCAGGGTGCCCTGTGGTGATGGACCTTGCTGTTGAAAGGCAATACAGGGCAGGGCACAGCCTTCCCCGGGTCATGCAGAGCTCACCTGAGGATGCCAGTTTCAAATATTCTTGGTCACAAGTTGGGAAGTGTAACTTTTATAAAGTCCAGACCAGATCCTCACACCTAATGGAGCAGTCTGCATGGGTCACAAATCTGTTTATGTCAATATGCTCTTGGGCTCAGTGTACACAGAACTAGGTCACTGGTTTGGCAGATTTATATTCAGCTGGCTGCATAAGATAAAATTCTTTCAGGTCAGTGGAGCTGGGTATGATTTACACCAGCTGAGGAATTTGCTCTAGACCTCTGTATGTAATCTGCCTTGCTGAAGAGTCAGCAGGCCGGCACCTCTGAAAGCTGTGGTTTATCTTAAAGATAATTTCCATAATGATGTCACTATTACCTAATGGACCAATGCCACTATCTGAGAATCTGTCCCCAGGGATGGGGCTATCTTAATAAGTGCTTCATCTTTGAACACATTCTTCTGAGCATGCTAAAGTTAACAATATGTACCCCTGGAAAAACTGTTGGGAAATGTTTGAGAGCTGGTATCAGGGGGATTAGGAGACAAAGTGCTACCTTCCAATGACATAAAGATGACTGTGGTGTGGGAAGAGTTCCTGAGCTCCTAGGAAATTCAACAGATCTGTCAGGGAGTAGAATGTGATATGACCAGAAATGCTGTTATTCTCCTGTTCATCAGCAGATGGACAATGAAAACAGATCAACCATAGGTATACCATCAAATTTAAAGTGCCAGGGAGCAGTTCTGAGTACTGGCCTGGTCCAGCAAGCAGTTTCCCAAATAATTCTGAGGCAGGAATGGCCCAGGACCGCTCCTTACAGTCAACCTCAGCCACTCTGTGCTGGGGTTGTCGTGTGGGCACAGCACATTCCACGGCATCAGGTCTCAGTGCCAGGGAATGGACCTATGTACATCTGTTTTGAGCACAGAGTGGTTAAAAAGAAATTCTTGAAAATGCCAGCTAAATGGCATCTTCCTTCCAAAAAGCAAAGACGTGAAATTAGCAGCCAACTTTGCAAGTTAGCCCCCCAAAACAGCAGCTAGGCTGTACCCTGTAACTTGGTCCCCAGGGTGAAGGAATCCAATGTATTTAGTAGAGTGGCATGCTCCCTGTCATTATTGCTACTTTGCACTCCAGATTCACAGAGTTTGTGCCTCTGCTTTCCAGGACACTCCTTGACCTCTTACATTAAAGCCAAAGGTTGATGCACAGACTTGTCTTTCCTTTATGTTGATGATAGCTGTGTTTTCCACATGCTTTGTTCTGATAAAAGACTATCATTCAGCAAAGGCTGCAGCTGGTTCATTTTCCTTCTGTCCTGTGAAAAGAAATAGATGTATAAATGTTCATTCCCTTTCCCTTTTACATTGGAAACCAGATCTTACTGCATGTGGAATTTAGATCTTACTGCATGTGGAATTACCACAGAAGTAATGATAGGGCTCAGACAAGCAAAATAACCAAATAAAAATCCTAAAAAGAAGAGAGCAGCAAAACAGACTGGGAGGGCTGGGGGTGGGTGAAATGGTCGCCTTTCTCAGAAAGGCCATTAAAGTCCAGTTACATTTTTATAGTGTAAGTATTTCTGGCTTCTTTTTTCCCTGGCATTTAATTTTCCTCTCACTAAGGACAGTCCACAGTGAAAACACTAAGAAATGAGATAGAACTTGTTACAACCAGCAGATCAGAGCAGAAATAGGGGGGCAAGGGTCGGGATTTCTGGGCCAGGCTTGACCTAAACCAAACATTATTTTACTTTCAAATGATCAGCACTAACATGGTTATTGTAAGACCTCTGGGTCACTGAGGCACTACTGGGCTGCCGTTTGGGATTAAACTTCACATTTCTGTTGTGTGATGGTATCTCTGGCAACAAGAGAAGCGAGATACTGATTAAATCTTCAGGCAGCAGCATGCATCTCATCTTGTTTACTGCAGTCCTGGCCAGCTGCTAGGTAAAAAAAATACACTGCAGACCAACACTTTTGTTAGTGCCATTGTGCTCAAGTCATAATTGATTAGTAGAAAACGTGTATTTTCTTATCACTGGAGTACAGCCATATCATACACCAGATTTCAGTTTCAATTTTAGTTTCATTAAGTCAGTATTACACAATAATGTACGAAATCTTGCAATAGAATTTAGTGAGCTAAAGCTGGATATACCCTGTGGCTTTATTGCTGTGTAGTCCAGAAGGGTTTGTTTTACATGAAGCTATTGGAAATGACATTAGTATTTCAGTTAAATACAGCTATCAGGCGTGTTATAAAGTCACCAGTGTTTATTAGTAAGCGCTGAGCAATGAGGATGTATTTGAATTTCAAACGAGGAATGAAGGAGCTCGTGGCCACATGCCAAGCCCTACACGAAGCCTGGCGGAAGGCTGCGGCGCTCGGCTCGGCGGGCTCACAGGCCGGGACAGTGTATCCGGATTGCTCCCGGCTTTCAGCCGCCAGCCGGGCGGTTTCCGGTGGTCCCCGCTGCCCGAACGCGCAACTCTGCCGCGGGAGCCCACGCCCGCCGGCCTCGCTAAGGCGTTTCCAAGGCAACCCCAGTGAGCCCGACTGCACCCTACGTCCCGTGGCGCTGCCGAGGGCCGTACCCTCCCTGCTTCTACCTCACGGGCGGAGGAAGGCGCTGAGCTCCGCGCCCGGTGCTTCCTCTCGGGGTCCGCGCTGCCCCTCACCTGCCACAGAGGCCGCCTGTCCTCGCTCCTGATTGGCTCACTCGCCAAGGTGCTCCTTTTTCTGATTGGTGGGAAGCCCTACTCACGGCCACGGATGCCGGTGGAGGGCGCCGAGGTCTTGGTTGCCATGGCAGCAGTGGACTCTAGGCAGAAGGGCGCGGAGGAATCCGGCCGTGCCTTCCGCCGGCCTTTGTCAGCGATGCCATGCCTCACAGCGCCGGCTCCCACCGCAGCGGCTCCCCCCACAGCTACATACCGGCTGCCCTGAGGCTTCCCGGTTCCTCGCTGGACGTGGTGAGCGGACGCCGGCATGGGGGTGCGCGGAGCGCTGCTCCCTGCCCTCGCCTCCCCTCGGCCCGGCCCCTGTGGCGGCCCGGCCTCTCCCTCTGACCGGTGCTGTCCTACCGCTGCCTCCGAGGTGGAGGGGCCAGGCCCGTGATGTGGGTCCTGTGGATGCGTGCGTGCGCGCGCCTTATCTGTTAGTTTGACTTCACCAACTGCAAGGTTCTGTTCATAGAGCTGCCCTGCTTGCTGATCTTGGTTCACTCCTCGCGCTTGGTCCTGGCACCCGAGGGAATTGGAGGGGACCAAGCCCCCAGTGAAGGCAGCCAGCTGTGCTCTCAAGGGGTGACATCCGTGTGTGCTGTCATGGTGACACGTGAGCCTACAGGCATGGCCCATATCAAGGCTTTTGTCAGAAAGGGGCTTTTGAGAGGACTGAGGCATGTGTGAGGTTACTTTGTTTTTGCCACAGAAGCAATTAAAACCTGTCTTCTCAAAGCTGTTGCAAAGGCTTGTGTTTGGGCAGAGACTGAATTTTAGCAGATGGGTGTTTGAGGGAGAACGTTCTGCTTTACTGAACAGGCCTCATGAAACAAGAGAAACCTGTCTTTAAAAAAAAATAATAAATTACCGATACAAAGCTATGCTGCTGACAGCAAAGCAGGATATGGGTATATCTGGCAGGAAATTTTAAGCAGGGTTACTCTCAGCTTTGATTGTATAAGAACAAATGTCCTTACACAGAACAGCCAACCTGCTCATGGGGTGTAGCATTTACAGACTGCAGCAAAGTTAGATTAACTTCAGACCTTGATTTAACCACTCAAGGCTCTGTAAATCATTTACTGTATTTCTGTCCAAGCATGTGATTAAACTTCAAGTTTTAAGACCTGTGAAGCAGGTGGCATCTAAGTGGGCCCTGCCTTTGTCAGCGATGAAGGTTTGGCATCTAACAGGAGTCCAAACAAAATGGAAAAAGAAAGGATTAAGATTCAGTGGCAGCTTGAGTTATGAAGATTGGGGGAAAAAATTGCAGCTAGAGACTTTACCACGTGTTTCTTTAAGATTTCTTTAAAGCGGATTGCTACAGCAGGCAGATTTGCCTGTTTGATCTGTTTCATCCCTCCCGAGGTCCCAATTCTCTGTGAGAGCAACTTGTACTCACAGAAGAGCTTGGTCTTTCCTTGTAAGATGGATGAAGATAGAGTTCTAGTACTAGACACTGGAACCAGATGGAAAGGAGGCTGGGGGGCGGGGGGGGTGGGGTGTGTGCGAGGTTGTTTGTTTGTTTTGCAAATGTAGAAACGATTAAAATATACATTTTTCCTCATTGTCCAGGGACTTACAGAACCCCTATCTCAGAGCAGAACTACTTTGAGTGGAAGGACATGTACAAAAGATGGCTTGAAGCTGAAGCCTGTGGCATCTTTGCAGGTAGGGAGTATATATTGCTCATAGGAAGGTACACTGAGTTGTCTAATACCAAATTTGTAGCACCTCAGGTATCCGGATATTCTTCAGTCCTCATTGTTTGTCTGTTTATTTGATATCAGAAATTAGTTCAGTGCTAATCAGCGTGCTGTTGCTGTTATTTATCCATGTAGGTAATACAGTGCACAGCCTCCTTTAATCAGTCATTGCAGGAGGCAGTATAAACTGTTGGAATACTTCCCCTGCTCTTCAGAGATGATGAGGTCAGATATGCTTTACAGCATTCCCTGGAGCTTAGTAGGCTTGGGCTTTCTGGAAAAAGAGGAGATTGCTGTCAGAACAGGGGACTTCTCACAAGGAATCCCAGCCTCCATGGCAGGCACAACACTCTGCGGAAGCTATGAGGCACACATAGACAAATAAAATACCTTCATACCCAGATGGAGGGAGGAAGGGTACCTGCTCTCCAAAGCATGTAGTAGTGTCCTAATTGTAAGCCCCTGTTTTATTCTGCATCTTTTGTTTCCTCTGTACAGAGAAAGCAGAAGATCATGTTAGAGGAAGTGCCTGCCACACTGCTAAGTCTTGTATTTATTTCTGGGTTTGGAAGCTGTCTTACAGGAGCTGAAAGAATACAGTAGAGGATTGGGATGTTGTGACCTGTTCCACTGCAAATCTTTTTGTTTACCTTGTGTCTCATGGAAAAATAGAAATCTTGCAAAGTTATGCAGGAGGGAAGGGAAGTCCTTCATACCATTTACATTATATAGGCTTTTATCCTTGCTTTGGCTTGTCCTGGATTATGTGGCAGAAGTGAGAATTTTTCTTTCTTAGAAGCAGTTGGAGTGAAGGACATGAACTTATAAATTTGAGGAAGGAAAGTTTCAAAGCTTGACTGGGTGAGACACTGAGCAACCTTGTCTGTGAGACTGGCTGTTCTTCAAGCAGGCAGTGGGACCAGATCACCTCCGGAAGTCCCTTCCAGTGAGTGCTTTCCTGGGTTTTTTGACACAGTCACAAAAGACAGGAAAGCATTGGTATGAGGAGGCAAGAATATCCAGGCAGATGTATCTGTTAGTGCTTAAAAGCAGGGATTATGAAATGAAACAAGTTGGGATGTAGATTAAAGACTTAGTGTTGAACCAATGGTAAGCGATTTGAATCTGCAGTGTAGTGAGGTCTGTTAGGAGTCAGTACCACTGAAGTGCTGGGTTGGATAGAGTAAAGTCTTAAATGTTGTCTTGTACAAAACCAAAACGTTGTTATCGTCTACACATTCAGAGTCTGTAGACTCTTTTAACTAGATGTTGCCAATAACTGGAGAACAAGTTTGTTTCATAACTGAAAGATCCAGCTGAGGAGTGTGGTTGTCAGTATCTGCAGAAGTAAGCTCTTATTTTGGTCTACTCTTTACCTAAGTAATATGCAAATACAACATTTCCTATAAGCAGTGTGTCTCTAGAAATTAAGGTTTAAATGGGGGTTCCTCTAAAGGGCATTTTGCTTCTGTGCTTCTTATATCTCTCTGTTATAAATTGATCCAGATATCCTGCTGCAAGTACAGGTGGAATTTTCTGGCTGGAGCTCAGAGTTAGTGCTTCAGTGTAAGCTTCATCTGATAGATCTAACTTTAAAACCCACTAAAATTCAGCCATCCCTATGGTGGAATGTGGAGGTTCTTTGAAAGTGACTTTTATGTAATTGAAAAAAGCACAAAGGAAAGAAGTAAAAAGTCAGAAGCTAAAATTTGATAGCTCTGAAATATTTTCTAAGCTGAGGAGTATTCTGGAATAATTTGAGAGTCACTCTGTTCTTTGAAATAAAATGTACAATCATCCATTGCTAACGGAGTTGAAGACAGGCTATCGGAGGATCTGATACTTTATCTCTCTGTTTAATTTTGTGTGATAGGAAAATGCTGCTCTTATTAGCAGTTAGAATTCCTTTAGAGATTTGTTTCATTGTTTTGTGGGAATTGTAAGAAACCCAGGGGGTTTGCCATTTATACAAGTTTTATATGTTTTGCATATTTTAATGTTTCTCCCAGACTAATCCAATAGTCCATAGCGTGAGTAGCTCAGAGACCCCATGGTGGCTACCAAGATTTATGTGCCTGAGACCTGTGAGAAAATGTGATCAGCAAAGGCTTTGGCAGGTAAGTGACTCTCAGCATTCCTTCAGCTGTAGATCCTACTGTGAAGACACATGAAACCAGTATCTGTAACTGGGATCCCAGGACATTTGGGTGCAACTGAGCTCCTGTCTTGGAACAGTCAGCCTAATACTACTGAAGTTCTGGGCAGTGATGTGGTCGGTTGGTCTGTGTGTGCTCCAGGACTGCTGTCCCCAGCATGTGCTTGGATTCATGTGTGAGTCCTCCTTAGCAGGAACTCTATGCTTCAGTCTGTCCCCCAAGGCATGCTCTGAAAATTGTATTACAAAAAGATGTGTATGCTCTGTCCTTCCTGTCAGCCTGTTGTAGATTGACTCTGTCTAGTGTGAATTGTCTGTCTAGTGTTCACGTATTACACAAATCTTCCAGAGGAATCCCAAAAGTTAATGCTGGTCAGCAGTGTTAGCACATTCAGAAATCATATTGCAGCTTCTCTTATATGTGCATGAGGAGGCTGCTGACTCAGTAAGCAGTGGTCTGATATTACAATAGGTGCTTAAACTATGAGTGGCTAGAATTGGACCTGTATATATATATATATATATCTTTCTTCAAAGAAGAGCGCCCAAATAATTAAAATCATGGCTTTAACTGGGGATATCCCAATCTCCATCATTCCTGTTTCATCTGTGTGAAAAGTTCTTCATCTCCTATGCTGAAGTATTCCTGACAACTGCTACAAGGGATGCTTTGTTGTATTTCCTGAACAGAAATAAGGAGGTTTGCCAGGCAGTGGGGTGTGAAGATGTTGGGTGAACTTCCTACTGTTCTCTCCCAGTTTGTAGCTTGATTGTGGAACCTAGATGAGAGCCTGATCTTTGAGAAGGTTGACTTTCTTTGCAGACCTTTTTCTTTTTTTTTAACATTTATTCAGAGGATCTCCTCAGCATCAGCAAAGAGTGGCACAACAGATACTTTTGAGCGCAGAAGAAATTTTGAGGAGAAAAGCAATACTAAAGATTGGCCAACAGAGAAACACTTCAGCTGTGAGAAGGTATGAGTGGAGGAACGAAATGCAGTAGAAGGTGTGGAGGGAGGAATGAAAAATGGTGATTTGCAGAATTCTGTAAAATCTGAGATACATTTATTGTTGGGAAGGGGAACAAAGAACTCTGGAAATAACAATCCAATGTGTTTTACCAAGCCCTTCCTTGCATCCTTTTGAAGCAGGTTTATTGAGTACGGTGCAATTTGGTGTGTGAAAGTTTCCCATAACACCTTAAACGAGCTTATGACTTTTTAGAATCATGGGCTTAAAGAACAGCCCAGGTTGGAAGGGACCTTGAAAGATCATCTGGTCTCACCTTTCATGGGAATCATAGAATAGTTAGGTTGGAAAGGACCTTAAGATCATCCAGTTCCAACTCACCTGCCATGGGCAGGGACACCTCACACTAAGCCATGTCACCCAAGGCTTCGTCCAACCTGGCCTTGAACACTGCCAGGGATGGAGCATTCATAACTTCCTTGGGCAACCCATTCCAGTGCCTCACCACCCTTACGGTAAAGAATTTCTTCCTTCTATCCAATCTAAACTTCCCCTGTTTAAGTTTTAACCCATTATCCATTTTCCTTTCACTACAGTCCCTAATGAAGAGTCATGGAGAGGTGCCTGTGTCTCCCTGGTGCTGTGGCCAAAGAGGGGAATGGGCTGGTACCACTGAACATGTACATTATAGTTCTTCCAAAACTCTTCTGTTGCTACATTTAACCTAACTGTTCAGAGCAAGTCTCACAAGGCCAGGTTGGATGGGGCTTTCAGCAACCTAGTCCAGTGGAAGATGTCCCTGCCTGTGGCAGGAGGCTTGGAACTAGATGAGCTTTAAGGCGCTTTCTAATTAAAACCATTTTACTATTCTATGGTTCTATGATTTGCCTGCCTGTGCTATCCTGCCAGCTGAGTTATGGTATAGTGTGCCTTTAATTACAAGACAAGTAATTATTTTGAATTCAAGAGTAATTGTAATTCCTACTCCTACTTTTACTTCATATGGGTTTTTTTGATGTTTTGTTAGGCAGCAGCTGATCAAAGTCGAGACATCATTGTTTCTGCTCACTGCATCTTGGACAGAGAAAATTATTTTGTGAGGGTAAGAAGTGGTATCTCTTTTCTCATTTGCTGTGTGCCAATTGCTGTATGTCAATGTGTTTTCTCTCCATCAGTGATTCATGAGAAAACATCAATTGTCTGTATTCTTGAAAAACTAAATTTAGAAGTACAAGTTTCTGGCCTCTTCAGTCTCCTTTGGATAGGATTGCAGTGGTAACCCTAAATATGAGCTTGGGAGTCATCTGGCTTTGGTGATTTACCTCCTTCTTTGCACCTAACTTTTGTTCTGTGAGTGTGATTAGATGGTGATAGCAGGCCTGAGAATAAAGGGCAGGAGGGCTGATCTGATCTAGTGGGTTGTCAGTGCTACAGGAAGAAGGTCCTTCCCCTGCCACCTATTTTGCACAGCCTTGGGCTTATCAGACCCCCACTCTGAAGTGATTTCAGCTCACGAACCTGGTGAAAGTGAATGGTTTTCTGCCAGTCTTGCATTATAGCTAAAAAAATGAGAGTTTGAATTCCAGAGCTTGTTCCAGGGAGAGCTTGGAAACAAGTGGTGGGAGCTAGAGAGAGGGAGGAGCAGAAAAAAGGGCTGGCGAACAGGGCTTTTGCAGCCATGACCAGTCAGATCAGGTCAGCCAAGCTGCCTGGCTTCACCCATGGAATCTTCAGTGTGATTGGCCAATAGGTTGTATGGGCTTTATTTTCCATTTCTTGCTTAGGAGGTGGACAGATATTTGAGGCACAATGAATTCTTAGATCTGAGAAAGAAAGAGATGCTCTACAAGAAATGGCTTGAGGATGTTTCAGAGCCACTGCTGCAGAAGATCGAGGGTAAAATGGACAGCAAGTCAAGTGAAGAAATACGGAAAAGGAAAGAAGAACAACTTTCTCTCTATTTAGACTACTGTAAAAAGAAGGTATCAATGAGAAGTAAATTCCTGTCATGGAGAGGTTTGCATACAGAGGGTTGTGGGCAAGACACATGTATTCTGTAGTTCTGTGTGTTTCAGTACTCGTAAAACTTGGAGTCACTGCAGGAAATTCTTGTTGGTTTTCTTGATTTTGCTCTGAATTTCACTCCACTGTGGAGCATCAGATCCCATGACTCAACTTTCTACATCTCAGGAATGGATATAGAGCAATAGAAGCAATTACATAATTGGCCACAAATAGTATTTTATGTAGAGCAGGCTTTTGTTGTAAGTGGAAACCACTGCACAGAGGAGTTGTGAGACTGCAAACAAGCTTCCCCTCCAGAAATAAAAATGTCATGGGAACTGTGTTGTTATATGAGAGCGAATGTTCATTTCTTCAAAGGTCTGATGTGAAGGACCCACACATTTAAAATGCATATGATGACAAAGAGCTGCACCAGTCTTACTGCTGAACTTCTGGGATTTAGGAAGTAATGTTGGGTGTCCTGTACATGTCTGGTCTACATCAGCCCATCTCGCAGGTTTGTGTGGCAGGTCAGGACTTTGCTGAGTGTCCACCAAAAGCAATGGATGCTGTAGTGGGATGTATCCTTCTCACTGAACAAGCACAGCACCAGTGATCAGCTTCCTCCTTTTCTCCTTGCTCTGTGATGCCAGCTCTCTCATCAGCATGTCTATAAAGCAGACTAAAGCCCATCAGGTAAACAGGGCAATTGATTTGCTTGAGTTTGCATTAATTGTGGCAGTGTATGATAGATTGTGCAAAACTGAAGACACTTTTATGGTTTTTTTTACTATAGTGACTTCTGGCTGTGCATTTCCCCCCCCCCTTCCATTTTGTCCATTTTCTCTTGCTCTCTTCACTGCTATTAGGCTTCTCCTTGTCCTGTTCCTCAGATCTTCTCACCTTCCTCTCTGTCACTGGTCCATTCCCTCTATCCATATCTATTCTTCTTCCTCCAGCTGTGCTTCTTGCACTCTTCCTCTCTCCAGGCAACCCTTTTACTCCATCCCCAAGTCTGTCACTGCTTTGTCCCCTTTTCTTCTGTAGACTCCCCAGTGCTGTGTCTCCCACTCCTTGTTGCTTCTGATGACTCCTCCAAGTTCTCCACTGTCCTTTGCTGTCCAAAGCTGCCTTCTCCCCCTTTCCTCTGTACTCGTCCTCTCTAGTAACACTCTTTCTCCTCACTGTCCTTTCAGGTTCCTCCATCTCAGTTTTTCTGTCAGTTTGCATTTCTACCTCCTTTATCATGCCATTGCAGCCTTCCTCCTTTCCCTCTTTTCCCGGACTCTCCATTGTTCCAAGTGACCTGCTCGTGTATGTAATTCTCCTTAAATCTACCTCCTTTTCGCCCCCGTTCTCACCTCCTTCTTACTTCCATTCCCATGGATATGGTCTGCAAATGCATGATGAGGTGGTTGGTCACAATGTGAAGATGGCAGCAGCTCTACTCTCTTTCTAGCACTGGCAGGGAAGTGCCACACTGCAGCCTGCAAGGACAGGGAAGTTTCCCTGGCCTGGCTTGCTGCTGTGTTAGCCACAACTCATCTTTTGGAAGTCCAGGATATTGCAGGTGTTGTGTGGTGAAATGCTGCAGAGTAAGAGACCCTTTTGACTCATTTTTTAAGAGCAGGCTGTTACTCTGCTTTCTGCCAAGGGGTGTGCGAGTCACCAGACATCAGCTGCAGGAAGGGATCAAAGGGGGGTGTGCTGCACAGCACTAAGCACACCTGAGATCACATACTGTAATGGGGTGATGTGTAATAGTAAACCAAGGGGTAGCACTAAAACCCTGCAAAATGAGGCATTTTGGTGCTTAAATGGGAGACAGTGAGTGTGGCTGCCACTTTCACTCTGGGGAACTGCCAGATCCTGGGGAACAGAGGCCCCTGCAGATGCAACAACCTTTCTACTCAGCACTAGCTGAAGCCCCGTGGAACTGCCTAGGTGCTCACTGAGTGTCTGGGAACAGCACAGGCCCTTGGGGCCTGGCTTGCTCGCCCATGTGAACACCTTCAACACAGTGACCTCTTAAACCTAGTGCAGAGCCCACATTGTTTGATTTGGACTCATCTTGCAGCGCTCCTGAACTGTTCGCGTTAAAGCATGGTTTTTCCAACTCTTTAACTTGAAATCACACCCACAGATTGCCAAAAAAGAACTGCTTAGGGCTTAGATCTGAAAGACCATGGGCTGAACATTCCCTTCCTTCCTGAGACCCCTGAAGAACCATCTGCACAAGAAAACTGAAAAACTTCATTTCCGAGGTTTTGGAGGAATGGCAAGAGTATTAGGGAGAAGTATTCGATATATATGCTTGCCCTGCTCTTACTGTTGTTAGAGTGTCACTTGTGGGTTCTGTTCTTTTCTGTTGTTGTTTTTTTACTTCTGTTTTGTTTTCTCCTCTGTACAGCTCTTACTTGATGCAATTTAGGTAAGTCCTGGGTTATTGGCTGTAAACAGTGCATTATAGTATGGAGACAAACAGTTGGAACATACCTTTCTCAGCATCAGGCTTGATCACTGTGTCAACCTCAGTCTCTGTTCAGCTTCTTGATGGCCTGTTTGATCTGGTATTCTTTGGTCTTGGCAATCAACAGTGGATGCCAAGTGGTGGTACTGGCTGTTCCCCAGCTAACTCTGGTCATAGAGAACCTGAACTCAGCCTCTTTTTAATATCTGTTTCCATCTCTGTCAAAACATTTTCTGTTGAACAGAATTTCCTTTTTCTTGACTGCCCTAGCTGTGGTTAGCATTTTAGCCTGTAATTACTTCTGGATGTGTCATGAAATCATTTATTATGTATTCATGCCTATAATAAATTAAAATAGATGGAAGAATTTTCCTGTTACACTTAAGTCACCTTCTTTCTGAGGTGCAGTGTGTGAAAATTCAGGATTCCTTTTCTCCACCACTCCTGGTACTGTGTTCATATCACGCCTGGGAGTGTAATACCTGAGCTGGCTGCTCTTGCTGTTTCATCACCAATAGCTAATGAGACCTGAGACAGTACCTGCTTCTCCCACAGGGCTATGTGATTTTGGATGCTTATGACCCATCAGAATATGACCCATTCTTCCTGAGGACATCTACAGACTGGTGGAAGGTGTGATAATTATTTATGCTATGAGTTCTAGGGGCACTCTTTGGCCAGTAGGAAGTTAATGGCTGGAGAGGAGGCAGAGTGTGTTACTGATGTGCTGCTATGGGGCTGACATAGAGCAAAATATGGGTCCCAGCTCCTACTGCATTTAAGCCCAAGTGTATTTGAAAATGTTTTTCACTGGGAAATGGTTTGGATCCATACTAAACCCAGACTTGGAGGCACAGTAGGCAATGGCATGGGGGAGGGTTGTTTACCCCATCTGAAGTTCATTGTAGCAGTGTGGGAATCATCCTGTCTAACAGGGGTTGGTGTGTTCATGGGCAAGCTGGATGTGTGCTCTGTAGGAGGCAATCTAACAGTTCAGATGATCTTTACAGAAGCTCACTCAAATGCACCAAGGGCTAATAGAAGAGTTAGGGAGCACTTGGACACAAATCCATGAAGTGCAATTCTCTAAATCCCTTCTGGATGCTGTGAGCCCTCAGCAGCTGTGGGGATGGAGCTGATACTTCATTGCAACGTGTGAACCCCTGCAGGGTTCATCAAGATCAAATGCCTCCAGGAGATCAGATCTCATGTCTGTGGTCCAACTCTGTGGCACAGTTGTTGAATGCACTATACGGCCTGCCCAAGGATCTGAGAGGCTCAGTATTTCTGAGGCCACTCAAGTCTGCCACCTGTTTTTATCCATAAAAAAGGAGGTTGATGCTCCTTCCCTGCTAACCAGTGGTATCCTGACATTTACCTCTGACTTTGGTCTTTTGAGGCTGACAAAGTACTTGTGTTGCTGAGTAAGCATGACATAACTGTCTCTGTCACAGGTTTCAACACCAGCTTTACAGGATCCTCTGTTAAGAGACATTCAAAGAAAGTTGATTGAGACAGGCATCACCAAGCAGTGCGAGACAGGTACTTTAAACAACTGGTATCCCTTGGAAGTGTTTCATACTGGGGCGGTGCCCTTGCTTGTGACAGTAGGTGCTCACACGAGGCACTTGTTACTTCCTGCCAGGAAGACCATGCTCTACCAGAGAACTGAACAAACTCAGCAGAGAACTGCCACTGCTACCTTTGAGCCGGCAGCATATGGATGCAGTTGAGTGGGTGAAGATACCATACACCTACATTGCTAGTGACGTTTACCAAAGAAAGAGGTAAGAGGTAATGTGTTGTTTATTGAGAGGCAGCACAACAGGTACAGTGGATGAGGCCTTTTCTTCTTGGCTGCATAGCAGACTATTTGTTAAAACTTAAATTTCATAGTTAATTCTGCTTTATTGTGTATTTCTCCTGAGAAAGAAGTGTTGGTGAAGGGAAAAGCCTTAAGGGTGCTTTACTGGAAGATCTGAAAAGGTTTAAGGTTCATACTTGCCTTGGGTTTTAGGGTTGTTTTTTTTTCTATTAGTTTCTAGATTTTGGGAGCAGTAGGAGCTCATACTTCTATCACAGACTGGTGGAGGTTGGAAGGGATCTCTGGGGGTGGTCTTGTCCAACCCCTCTGCTAAAGCAGGGCCACGGAGAGCCAATTGCCAGCCACCATGTCTAGGAAGCTTTTGAATATCTCCTAGGATGGGGACTCCACAACCACCACGGGCAGCCTGTGCCAGTGCTTGGTCAACTTCACAGTAAAGAAGTGTTTCCTGATGTTCACACATCTTGTGTTTTGCTGTGTGCCCATTACCTCTGGTCCTGTCACTTGGCACCACTGAAAAGAGCCTGGCTTTGTCTTCTTTGTACCTTTCATACATACTAATGAGATTCCTCTTGAGCCTTCTCTTCTCCAAGCTGAACTGTCCCAGCTTTCTCAGCCTTGTCTTGTATTTGCTCAACCAGTGTCCTTTGACCATTGAGTGTTGTGGCTCAAACCATGATGCTGGTTCTGCAAAGGAGTAGCCTGTACTGAAGGAGCTAACCACCACTCCAGAAAGTTGTATCCTATAGCTGAGCTGAGAGATTGCTTTTTGGCGTACAGGCTGGTTGGACTCAAAACTACAGCATGGATGTCTAATGGTCAGCTGAACTGGAGCAGCAATGCAGCTGCCAAGGCTGAGAACACCAGGGAGCCTGGGCTAGCCAGCCCTGACAGAGAAGCAGTTGGGATCAGACTGGTCCCATTTTTTTAATTGTCATGCTTTTTTTTTACAGTCCAGGCTCTCATTCACCCTTTTGAAAGCTCTCTGGTTCTGCCACTGCAGTACACAACACTTAAGGGAACTCCCGCTACCCAGTGACAAGAACATCAAAGGTGAACTGAGAGCCTGATGTCCTCCTGAGCCAGGCACACTTTGCCCCTCAGCCCCTGCCTTGGAGTTTTGTGGTTTTTACTAGCCCAAAGCTTTATTCCACAGGAAAACTGGTCACAATGGCAAACATTTCCTGGAGTGGCTCAGTGTGGGAAAGAGCTAGTGCAGGAAGTTGTGCTGGGTCCAGCAGCCTTCGTGCTGCATGGACTGGCAATAATTTTTACTTCTGTTTGTTTAAAGGCGAAAAGCCATCAACCACGACAGAGACAACATATGATATCATCTGTCCTCCAGCTGATTGCAGCGGCAAGCACAGCCATCAGAAGGTACCATCTGCAAAGTATGTTGTTATCTCCTGCCAGAGCAAGAGGGAACAAGGCAGGTCTGGCAAACTGCAATAAACTCATCTCAAACACGTCATTCTGAAGTAGTTACTCAGCAGCCAGAGAAATGTTTGAGATGCTGCTCCTGTTATTTCCAGCTCCAGTTCATGCTCTACGGGCCAAACCCTACTATTTTAGGAGGTTTAACTTAGGCTCAGCTCTGCAAAGACAGTGCTGATGTCCTCTGGTTTATATAGTGCGAGTCTTCTCACCAGTTCATCTCCTTCAACAAAGTTAGAAAAAGGTCTGGTAGGCCCCAGACTCTGCATGTTATCCCCAGCTCTGAGTCTGCTGTATTTCCTGTGACAGGACGTGTGGTGTTACTAGCACTGGGCACAGGGAATGGCAAAGCTTGCACAATTTTAGCTGCAGCTGTTGTAATTTTTTGTGAAGCTGAAAGACCTCACCTTGAGATTCAAGAACAAACCCTCTCTTGAATGAGAAGGAGGCACTCCTGGCTATGTGCCGTGTCAGCATATGCGTGCAGAAGAGTGGCTTAGAAAGCGCTGATAAGGAAATATAGGTTTGGTTTTGTTTGTTCAAATCTTTATGAGAACTCCCATAGCGAATGTCTTGCAAAATATTTGCAAAATAATGCTAGGCTAGTAACAAGGTTTCAAAGGACTTCCCCCTGGAGGCAGTGTACAAGCAGTAAATCAAACTAACATACGGATGAGTGTTCTGAGAAGGCAGGAATTATGAGGGGAGAGCAGGAGGAAAGTGTTTTGTACAAAACAGAGCTTTTTGGAGAACCCGTGCTGAGCACCACATACTCTCAGTGCCCTGCAGATGGGTTTCTCTCCTGTTCCAGTGCAGTGTGTGACTGCACAGCAGCTCTGGTGTTGAAGCCTGAAAACAGAATTCCTCACGGCTTGTACAAGAAGCTCCAAACTCCCACTGTACAGACACAGACTCTCAAGAATTGCCAAGATTTAGTTTTATTTAGGATTAGAAATACTGAACCACAGAAAACTTGTTAAAAGAAATAGAGGTCGACTCAGCCCTGTAACAGGAGGGTGTACAGGCAGCAATCAGGTGTGAAACTGTCAGACATCAGGAGGTGCTGCTGTCCCCATGGAAGACACGGGCCCACATTGCTCGGAATTCCATGCTGTGCTTTTCCAACAATGCAGTTTAAGGAGGCAGTAAAACGGTTACAATGTATCAAACCCTTTATAAACAAACTCTTCTTTTGCTTAACCATCCTTGATTTTGATGCTGAGAGAAGTTTTTCTTTCAAATAACCTCATTTTACAGATTCATACTGGGGTGACAGTTCCCCCCAGCAAACCCTTTCAACTTGTAATAAACTTTGCTTGAATTTAATCCTCTATTTTTTTCTCATTATTTCACATTCCCCTATAAAATAAAATATACTTTTTAAAAATCACTGCATCAATAAACATCTGTAAACAAATTACATTAATAAACTTATATTTTACTCTCTATATACATGTTGGCAATGTCAAAGCTTCAAGATTCACTTGGAGGTCTGCAAGACCAAGGAAATGTACGCAAATAACTTATATTTAGGAAAAAACCAAATGCTGAGGAGTATTTTGCCACATTACTGTGGGTCACAGTATTTAAAATATCTTTTTTTCTAGTTACTCTTCACAACCACATTGTCTCAGCAGAGAATGAGGAATTGAACTGAAGCAGAAAGAAAAATCAAGTAGCAGTTACTGATTTCAGTGCAGAACTAAGTCAAGTAAGGAACTACACTTGATTTTTAAAGAATATACAAGGTATCAGAGACTTCTCCAGTGCTAAGGCTTCTTCAGCATTTAATCTTTAAAACTATCATCCTGAGACGGGAAGATTCCAGTGGATATCACTTTGCAGATTTCAAATGGAATGATTCTAGTGCTGAGCTTAAACCATTCCTCAGTCTGGATGTCAGACTAAGTGGTAAAATATACATGCGTCTTGATGCCACATTTCTAGTGAATACTTCTTATGGCCCTGAAAATGGAAACATTGGCATCCAAACCCAAGATATTCCAACATAATAAAAAGGCACTGAGCTATAGAACTGTATATACAGTAACACTTGTGTTTGCATAGATCAACAACAACTTTGAACGCTGCAAGGAGCTAAACACAACCAGGAACTAAGAGGAAATATGGAAGCAGCAGAAATTTTGCTTAATAATCAGCGTGGGGCAAGGCATCTTTTACAGAAAAGCTCTTGAGGCCATCAGCTTCAGTTGTCCTTCATAAATTAAGAAAGTGTTCTTAGAGGAGTGTTTTCTGGTCAAAGAGCTGCAGGTCAAAACGGACCCACACTTCACCTGTTGGAACTTCATGCAGCAGTAAGTGCTTAGTCGTGGGGCCTTTGCTTTCTTGTTCTGTTCTGATTTTTGCTACGGGAACTTCAGTGCGACCCAAAAAATCTGTTGGGCAAGCGAATAAGAAATTTCATTAAGCAAAGACGTTAAGCTTAGAAAATCTGAAAGTGTCAGTTAAGCAGCAATGTTGTGTAGTAAATATTTAGTTCCAGAGCACTGACTAGCCCTCAGCCCTGTGTAGATCAGCCAGGTCTTTTAATACAGAATTAGGATGGAAAATATGCCTTTATGTCACAGTTTGATCTAAGGCCTTTAGAAATACAGTTATCTTTCAGAAAGACAATTTCAAATGTTCTCCTGCCTTAGAGCTGGAGGGTCAGAGATGATGGAACCTGTTCACAAGTCAGCTGTGATGCTACAAACATAGCTAAAAACCATCAACTATGTTGGCTCAGCCGACTTCTAGTTAGGCTCATAGATTGTTCTTTTCACAAGAACAACCACCCCAAACAATTACTGCCACTAGTAGGTTCACAGTCCTATTCATAAATTATAAATCCTCTTTTATGGCCATGTCATCCTGGGGGGGTGTGTGTGCATTAAAAGGTTTATCAAGAACTGAAAAAGCTACAGCCTTAGCTGTCCAATGGGGAGAAGCAGCCTAGCAAAGTCATGTTACTGCACAGGAGAAAAGACTGAGCTGTAGTTACATGCAGGATATCTCAGGTCAAGGCAGGACTGTGCAAATGTGCAATAATCAACTGTGTGGCAGAGCTCTGATAAAGCACTTAACCTTTTGAAGAGTACCAGAAGCAACTGGCTGCCAAAACCGTGTTCAAGCGAAAAAAGAAAGCTTATCAAGCTCTTGCTGTGTAAATGTAACCTAGCACTTTCTTTCTGGGCACCTACAGTGCGAGAGAAAAACTTCTGCTTTCAATTTCTTTGTATCCCCAGTCTCACAATTCTGTGCCCAATACAAAAGTGGGATCAGACTTGCCCAGAGCTGTTGGCTCCAGAAGGCTACTGAACCTCTGAGGAAGGAGGTGTTGTTTTTAAACAACATTTCTCAGGAAGCAATCACACAGGCTCTTGGAACTGCTGGTGAGGAACTGTGTAGCCCACGGCACAAAAAGGAATTCCTTTCCTGAAACGAACGTCCACACTTACCATCAGGTGAGAACTGATCCCTGTCAAACATGGTGATACACAGGACATCCTGATAAAGATCCTTGATGAAGAACTGGCAGTTAAAGTTCCACTTGGGGTTCAAGGTGTCTTGCAGGGTCCTTGTAGTGTAGCTTTGAGAGCCCATGCTGATTTCACAGTATGGGTTGCTTTTCCCTAGACACAGAACAAACCATGAAACACCTCTGAGGTATAGAAACCTCCTTCCCCATCTGGATGCTGCTTGGATACACATCGATCGATACTACTGTCCAGAAAATGTGAGGCAATCCATATATTCTACAGCAGCACAGAGCTGGCTCCTCACTCACTCCTCTGAAGCTAAGTTAATGGCTAAATTGTTCAGAAGCTGTAGCAAGCCTTTCTATGCATTTCAGGAATAAAAGCAATTTGACACTATTCCTTCACTTACCATTGGGCTTACAGGCCTTTAGTTCTGTTGCTTCAATCACATGCACCATCAAACGTCCTATTCCTGAGGTTTTCTGCGAGCGAGCTGGGAACAAAGAAGTCAGAAACAAATGGACTGCCTGCAACTGTAATAAACGGCACTAGATCTGAAGAGGGAGATCAGATCCTACACAGACACTGTGGCACCCTCCTGAAAAGGCCCTGCCCACGTGTCCACATGGATGACAGGGAAATACAGAATGTGGTAGGTACCTTGATAAGCCTTTTCACGTTTCTTCTTCTCAGTTTCAATGTACTGCTCGGATGCTGCTTTGATTTTCTGGACCCAGGCAGTACTGCAAAGAGTAATCCCTATGGTCAGGGTCATACCACAGGCAGGAAATTATTCTGTATCAGCAACTCTGCTCCAGTCTTTTTTGACACTTTTTTCCCCCCACTGGGTTTCAGAGGCATCAGAAATCAAGCTAGTTTAAAGACTAAAGTAATGGAGATTTTGGATTTAAATGAAGTAAGTGGAACTGCTGGTTTATTGAAGCATGCTGGGTTATACTAAAGACTGACCAGGACTAGAGAAGAATCCTATGGGATGCTGGACTTTGCAGCCCTAAACTAGTCTTCTGTACAACTGTAACATCAAGGAGCAGTAGATGTGACTGGAATCCGCTGCCCAAGCAGAACAAAGATCAGAGAAAACTTGAAACTCAAACGAGAGTCAAACGAATTTATTTCCTAACCAAGAGACTAAACCCTGTTCTTGAATGCAGAAATCCCCTGTGTCTGCCCGCTGGAAACCCAACCCACAGCCATCATCAACAAGTTTCAGCTAAGATCTACATTCTCACTACTCACCGCTCATTAATGTTGTCAGTTTTAAGTGTGTAAACTCTGTCAATGTGCGATATGTGGAAAACTGGCTCATCGCTTGAAGGGTCTGTGGGCAATTTCACTAGGACTTCATTAAGGAAAACAGGCTGAAAGAAAAGCAAACATCAGTGTGGCAGCATCACTCTGACAGTAAGTGGAAACCCTACAAGGATGTTTAAGTACACTGTATTACTGCAGGGAAAATGAAAGTTGTAGGACACAGGATGAACAATCAGATCTCCGTGTAAAGGATGTGAGAAAAGAATGACAGAAAAACTACTCAGGTGATACACTCCATTCTGTCTTCCTAGATGGAAAGCTTTGTGAAAGGGGCAGGACTGCGTAAGCAGAGCTGCAGTGTGGTGTTTGGAAATCCTGGAATCTCTCAGGTTCCCTGTTGGAAAGCAGCCCTTCAACTTATCTCCCCAGCTGCAGAGTCTGGAGAACACGCGCTGTGTAGACACAGGACTTAAAGTCTTGCACCTCGTATTAATTTCTAAAGAAGGTATTTTCTTGTGGAACTTGTACAAACTTAAGTCAAGGTCCCTGCTTCTGAACACAGCTGCTCAGGCACGATGCTATTTCTGCCCTTTCACACCAAAATGGATGGAAGTGCTTATTAAACTAGGACACAGCAGCCTGTCCTTTTTTCCAGGGACTAAGCCAACGGCATGCATGCCCATAGGACAGCAAATGATTAGACAGGGCCAGGCGGCTAATCCTAGCAAGGAGAACAGCATTCCTCATCGGAATGCCAGGTTCCACTATATCAACATGACCACCTTGATTCACTCACCATTTTGTACATTTTGAACTGGGAGTTGGACTTGGGGCTGAACAGTTTATCAGAGCCAGAAGATACAAACTGTTTAACCATATAGGTGAGCAGGAGGAAGTCATTGAAAAGGAAGCCATACAGCTCCTTACTGCTCTTGGCCTTGTACAGCTTGCCACTGTGCAGGAGTTTCCGTGGTCCCAAGCAGTTAGTGAGGGAGTTGAACACAGGTTGCTAGGAGAGATAAAACACATTAGCAGCAACAAGTTAATGCAGAGATCAGTTCCTGCTCCTCTTCACAGCAGAGGTTGCTCAAGCTGCTCAAAACGCTCATCTGTTTTGTTTAATGAATTTAGTTACAAATGAAGAAAAGGGAAACTGTCTTATGATCTGCCATGGTATCAGCACTACTCCCAGCTTAAAGCAGTTTAAGCTTTACCAACACCACACACATGGGTCTGATTGGATGACGGCATTTACCTCATGGCACTTTTCTGTTGTCCAGAAGCCTTGCTTAAGAAGAGCCTGCAGAGTCTACAGTCAGGTCACCTCTTAAAGGTGCATGATTAGGTGATGGAACTAGGACAGACCTTTCTGGCCTGTCATGTCATGGTTCCTTATAAGCCAGTGAAGAACTGTCACAACACCTCATTTTGAAGGCTGCCCTGAAAGGTACAGGAGCCTGAACCCCACTTATCTTTGAGGATCTGGCATTGAGGGCTTCTGTGACTTTTCTGCATGAAGGAAAACCTTGGGAAATAGACACTATATTAAATTCCACCTAGTAACACCTGACTCAG